CCCCCCCCCCTCCCTCCAACCAGCATCCCCTCTCCCTTTATCTTTCTGTCTGTCAGATGACTACCACATCGCGTATCTGCTGCTGCTGAAGAAGCTGACGGTCAAGGGCCCCAAGGACGCCAAGGTCGAGGACATCGACGAGGAGCCCACCAGCATGGACGTCGACAAGCCGCCAGAGGGACAAGAGAAATCAGAGGAGGAGAAGGGCAAGGAGGGAGGCGGCGACAAGAAGGAGGGCAGCGATGGCATGAGCTTGTGAGGTGATGTGGTGTGGGGCCACACACGCAAACGGGCCCTGTTTGGCTCGTGTGGAGGCGTTGGATCGACTTACGTGCCTGCTTTAACGTCCATGGCATGGTGGCCGGACCGCCCTGCCTGCCTGCCTGCTTCCCCTCTTTGTGTGCACTGCACGTGTGTGACGACGTTTTGGACACCAGACGTGACGCCAGACGGACCAGATGAACGCATTTTGTCTTAGATGCATTGATAGCATGTAGATTGAAATCACCACACACATGTCGAGTCAGTCGAGTCAGTCGAGCAGCACACTGCCTGCATGGACGCATAGATGGATGGAGGGATGGAGGTTCGCTCACCACACGCGCACACACAACACAAACACACACGCACTCGCCGGTATACACATCGCTCGCTCGCCAGTGTCTAGCCAGCCAGCCAGCCAGCCAGCCAGCCAAACAGAAGGACGTGTAGGAAAGAAAAGGCTGATTGATGCACACATCTGCTCGTCTCACTGTCTGCGCACCAACCCAGCGGCCGTCCGACCGAGACAAAAGCCGCGATGACGGCCGTTGTCTCAGTTGGACGGGGGCGAGAGTGGGGCGCATCCGGTCAGACGCCGCAGACAGACAGACAGATCGGGAAAAAGAACAAGGACGACGACATCAAATCGGCAAGACAAACTCTCGTGACTCGGTCACACGCACGTCCCCGGCTCAGTCGGCTGAGTGCGCTGAGTTCGTGAAGGGAGTGTGAGTCCAACGCATGAATGAGTTCTCATCCTGCGAGAGACTCTCACCCCCTCCACGTCCTCGGCGCACCAGCCCAACAGAGCCAGCCTGACTGACTGACGTCACCATACAGGTTAGGTTGCAGTAGGACACACACACAGGGCAATCGGACGCTCTCTCTCTCTCCAGCCAGGTCTAGTGTTACACAAAAACGTTCAAAGGAACCACGCAAGCACTCCATCCATCCATCCATGAAATGTGTATAGCTCATGCAGCCACGCCATCAGCCAGCCAGCCAGCCAGCCATGTTTGTATGTATGTGTTGTGTCGTCTTGGCATTCAGTCCATTGGGTTGTCGTCTCTTGCTGTGCAGTCACTCTCAGCCAGCCAATCAGGACAGACAGACAGACAAGATGCGCCGCGCCTGTGAGCTAGCGCCCATACTTCTGGAACTCCCACTCGCCGTTGCCTAAACACACACACACACACACACACACATCCATTCATCCGATGAACAGACCATTCACAACACACACATCCATGCCATTTGTGTGTAAGTCTGTGCCTTACAGAGTGGGCAGACGTTCCGTGTCTTGAGCCACCGGGAGATGCAGTGGAAGTGGAAGGCGTGGTTGCACACGCCCCACGCCACTGTGCACTCCTCGCTCGTCTGAGAACCTGCACACATACAGACATACATCACACACCACACCACACACACACAACAGTCAGCATCATGTCGCTGTCTGTCGTGGTGTGTGTGTGGACATCGACGTACCTTGGTTGGCCTGGCACTCGATGCAGGGGTCCATGATGTGATTGCGGCAGATGGCACAGTTGTCCACAACGATGTCTACGCACACAATCAGACAGACAGACAAGCGCATGCCGACCGAGGGAGGGAAGGAGTCATCATCAGATCACCGCATGAGGTGTCTGTCTGTGCTCACCCCAGGCCCAGAGTGCGACGGCGTTCCACTTCTTGATCTCGAACCGCTGCTTGCCCTCCTGAGGCTCGTTGGCGGAACTGCTTGCCGCTGCTGCCGCTGCCGCTTCTGCCATCGTCAATACCAACCAAGCTACACACGCGCACGACGAGAAACGGCGTCAAAAAGCCTTGTCGCCGCAGCACTTGAAGCTCGCAATTGCTTCAAGCTCGCATTTTGTGATCGAGAAGAGATCTGCGCTGCTGGAGGGATGCAGTGAGATGCACCTTGGCGAATGCTGCCGACCAGGGATAACGAGGCGTTCCTGAAGGCCGCCCTTGCGAACGGCATTCGCGTCGATGGCAGGGGCCTGCACGACCCCCGACCCATACAGATACACTTCGGCAACACTTACGGACACGTAAACCGCCACACAAACAGACGCATGAATGAATCGGCTGCCATCGATGTGCTTGTGTCTGCGCTACAGGTGGAGGTGACCCTCGGCCGCAGCCGTGTGCTGTGCATCGTGGCGGGGGAGGTGGTGGCACCCTACGCAGACCGCCCCAACGAAGGGTTCCTGTCGTTCAATGTGGACTACGGCCCCATGGCCTCGCCGCTGTTCGAACTGGGCCGCACCAACGAGGCCGCCATGGAGGTGTGCAACCTCGTCGAGCGGCTCCTCAAGGGCAGCCGCGCCATGGATGTCGAGAGCCTTTGCATACTCGGCGGGGCCAAGGTGAGTCGGTGGGGGGTGGGTTGTGGGCAAGGGGGAAGGAATTACGTGTGTGTCATTCGTGGTGGCTCGCAGGTGTGGTCGCTGCGTGTGGACATCCGGGCGCTGGACGACGATGGGAACCTCTGTGACGCGTCGGCCCTGGCGGCTCTGTGTGGCGTGCTGCACTTTAGGAAACTGGTGGGGCGGGCAGACAGCACAGATGGATTGATGGACGCGACCGACGTCCGTGGTGGCGGTGTTTGTCTGTGTGCGCAGGATGTGACGCTGTCGGGTTCGCAGGCCATCATCCATTCGTCTGAGGAGAGGGAGCCCGTCCCACTCAGGTCAGTCAGTGAGGCGACACCGGCCCACACTTCACGCATCCATGGATCCATTTGTGTGTGTCGTGTTGCATCGACTGTTGCTCTGCAGTGTCCACCACCTTCCCGTCCTGATCTCATTCGGCTTCTTCGACGACGCTGAAACATTCGTGGTGAGGCTCGCACACACGATGCACACCTGGACATCGTTGTGTTGTGTCGTGTGGCGTCAGGTGGATCCGTCGTCGGCCGAGGAGTCGGTGATGCGGGGGCGGCTGTCGGTGGCTGTCAACCAGCACGGCGACCTGTGTGCCATCCACAAGGCGGGCGGCCTCCCCATCGACATGCAGCCGCTGCAATACTGCATGCAGGTGGGCGGTGTGCCACTGGGGAGGGAATGGCGAGGGAGAAAGACTGGCTGGCTCTGTGTGTGTGTGTTGTTGATGGGTTCAGCTGGCTGTGTCGAGGGGCAAGGACGTGGCCAAAATGGTCATGGACGAAATCGAAAAGGTAGCTGGGAGCAGCTGTTGCATGCACACGCAGCTGGTGGATGGATCATGCCCATATGTGTCTGTTTGATGGATGTATCAGGACAAGCAAAAGCGCCGAGAAGCACGGAGGAACATACACAAGAAGTAAGCATCAACATATGCAGACAGGCACATTATGTCATAGGCCACCATTGCGTGTTCGCTTCCTCGCCCCTTGTGCAGGTACGAGGATGCTCCCGTTACTGTCCCAATGGAAACCCTCCCAGCCCGAAAGCCAGAAGACGTCGAGATGGAACCAGCACCTGCCGCAGCCCCGCCAGAGCCGCCACCGGCACCATCAGCTGCTGCTGCCGCCGCCGCCGCCGCCGCCGCATCTGCAAGCTCGATCGGCGCCAAGAGGCGTCGCGAGTCGCCCGACACCCCCAACCTAATCCCCACCCCGGCCCCTGGCCCCTCTGGCGCCTCTCCCATGGCGGCGGGCAGGCGGCCGCCCACGCAGAAGGGCAAGGTGGGGAAGCAGCGGATAGCCCCCGAGATGAATAACTTCATGGACCTGACCCTGGAGTCGGATGAAGACGTTGGAGAGAGAGACAAGGGAGCGCAAGACGGTGGTGGTGGTGGTGGCGACAGAGGCGAGGAGGGTGGCACGAGCGACACGTCCCTCGACCAGCGGTTCGGGGCGGTGTCGCTGGACAGGGGTGGGGAGGAGAACAAGGCGGCAGTAGGACAGCCAGCCGGTGCTGTTGCGGCTGCTGCTGCTGCTGCTGCTAGTGCTAGTGCTAGTGCTGGCGCTGTAGGCGGTGTGAAGGCCGATAAGAGGGAGGAGATAGTGATAGACGATGATGATGAGGACGATTTGGCGTCGGCTGTCAAGGTGCAGAAGCGAAAGTCAAAGAAGAAGAAGGGATAAATAGATAGGCGCAGAGAGACATACAGACGGACGCATCTATACTAGGAGACGAGGGTACATGTATTGTGTCAGTCAGCTAAAGGGTGGTTGTGTGGTTGTTTGTTTCTTGATTAACAATGTGAGTGTGGTCTCATCGAACAGTGGGCTGACGGGGGGACACTGTGTGTTAACGTAATGATCTTCAGATGCATCTTCTGACATCAATGTCTCCGCTCACCCCTCGACTCTGTGCATTTATATCGCTAACACATCACTCACCCTCACGCCACACTACACGGCAGGCGACCGCGGCAACAGCTCCTCAGCAAACAGCTGAGGGACATACATACACACGCATGGATCCACCACAAGATGGTGAACACACCCATGGACGCATTGCATTGGTGTCTCACCAGCTCAAAGCCGCCAACCGAGAGGAATCTGACGTAGTGCTGCCAGGTGAACTCCTCGTCTCTCGCCCCCTTGGTCCCGGCGGCAGCCACCAGCAGCTGCGCATCCTCCGCCGACAGACCAAACCCATCAGGCGCTTCCTCTGTCAGCGCATCAACGAGGCTGCCAGCCGTCCTGGAACGAACAAACATAGCGAGACATCATTCTTCCTTCTCATTGTCTCAGGGTTCTTCCGCACCTGAATGCCTCGCTCTCCTCGTATGGCTGTCTCAGCAGCCTCATGTGCTTGTCGTGCCAGTCCTTGGCCACCGCCTGGGTGAACTCCTCAAACGACACGTTCTTTCCCCCCGCCGTCACAGCACTCAGCTGCGGCGCCAAGTCAGTATCACTCAGCTCATTCGCCAGCTTGACAGCAGCCGGGAAGGGCAATGCGAACGCGGCCGGCACCTCAGAGTCGTCGTCGAGCATCTGGGAGAGGCTGGTGAAGCTCATGACCTTGACAGCATTTGCGAATGGCTCCTCCCAGACTGTCTTTGCGATCGACTCTAGTGCACTGAGGGGCACAACGAGGTCGTGCGCCTGAGTTGGGAAGAGGCCTTCGGCGGCGCCTGCCGGTTTGGCAGAGACGGATGAGGGGGGAAGGGCGTCGGGGAGGCTGTAGGTCTGGGGAAGACGGGCGCATGTCTCGAACAGCTGCTCGAAGTCCCTGAATGATCACGTGTGCGGGTGTGGGGGAGAAAGAGGACATTGTGAAGAGACATGAGCGATGAATCACCACCCATTCTTCGTCAAGGTCTCACTGAAGGCAGACGCCGCTTCGTTCCAGCAAATCATCTGCAGAAGACCATATATACATGCGTCGACTGTTTGCTTCTCCTGGCGCGTTTTGCTTCACTGAAGGGCCCACCCGACACGTTTTTGAGAGCATCTGCCGGTCTTTCTCGAATGACTCGTTCTAGAATGTCCTTCAAGGCGCCATGCAGCTCCGGGGAGAGCTCTGGCCAGTCCATTGTCGACGTCTTAGCGGACGTCTTCTCGTGCGAGCTAAGATGTTGATCTCCCAGCAGCTCGCACTCCTTGTGTGGAAGGGGGCAGCATCAACAGAGCAGAGGCCTTGTTGCGAGAGTGAGTTGCGATCTGCCTGCGCCGATGGATGGCTTACCCAAGAAACTGCGGAAAGGCCTGGCTGTCGGCAAGAGGCCTCTCGACGAGGGCAAGAACACCGAAGATGGAGGCCCTGTTTTGCCCGGCGGCTCCGCCGGCCACGCTACCAGTGCTGCCGAAGAGGAGGCTGCCGTCCCCTCTATTTTGTCACATATCGTCCCTCTCACGCTGCAGCTGCCCGCCAGACCTGAGGACACTTTGGGGGAGGGCAGCAACGAGGACGGGCTCATCGAGCGGCAGCGGCTGGCAGACCGTCTGAAGGTGCGCACACATCGAAACACACAGCAGGTTGCGGACCGACTTGCGGACATGGCTGTGGATGTGTGTGTGCAGCGGCCCGACCTCTATCTGCATCAGACGAAGACCTTAGGTGCGCTGGGCGTCAGTAAGGCGGACTACAAGCGCAACTTGCTTCGCAGTCAGCATGGCAACATCGTCCCTCCCATCCACCCCGACGAGGCAGCACGGATGTTGTCGAAGGTCGCCGATCAGGCGCATGGGTCCCTTTCCCGACCTGATGGCGAGTGGAAGGAGGAGGTCGCTGCCAGCCTCAGGCAACACATGCTCCATCATCGAGTCTTGTGCGTGCGCGTGCGGAGCGATCCATACGGAGCATCCGCTCCCTGGTGTCCGCCGTATAGACGCGGGGTAAGGAAGCTCACAAATCATCCTCGCGCACTTGTTCATGGCTTCTCTGCATTTGCCTCCGTGCAGCCCCTCTGTGTGAGTTTGGCCGACGGGCGTGAGGCCGGCGACCCCTCCGCACCGACATCGGTATCCCCAGAGGAGAAGGGGCACTTCGAGACGGCGGTCCGCATGACGATGAAGCAGGCGTGCGAGGAGGGGCACCCCCACGAGACGGGCAGCCGCAGAGTGAACCTAGGCACAATCGCAGAGAAGGTGGTGGACGAGCTGATGGACCGCGGAGTGGTCGTCGGCAGCCACCCCAAGACCATCGTCCTGCTGTCAGCCGTGGAGGTGCTTCCCTCTGACTGGCTGTATGATGGATCCGCCGCCGGGGTGTCTGTCAAGTGCACCTGGGGAGCGGGCAGCCTGTGGTTCTACTTCGTCAGATGGAATCCCCTCTGCAGCACCACCGACAGCAGCGCGTCTTTTGTGTCGGCGGACGCGGAGACGACCATCAACACCATAGCCCGTACCCCAGCCCCCTCCCCGCCCCCTCCCGCAGCCCACTCGTCGGTGCAGAGGGCCGAAGAGAGGCGCGACAAGCGGCGGCCAGAGGACCCCAGCCGGCAGTCTACCAGGCTGCTAGACAGAGACCTCTCCCAGCATCAGGGTAAGGCATATTCCCCCGTCGGCAGCTCGTCGTCCTTCCTCTTCCCGGCCAATCTCCGCAGCGCCATCGGCACGCCCGGCGGGCCAACTCGGTTGGCGGCCACCAAGGGGACGGCTCGCGGGCGGATGCACAACGACGATGGGCCGGACGGTGAGGACGGGGGCGGTGCCGACGAGCGGCACTCACGGCCCGAGAAGGGTGGTTCCCGCGATGCGACGCCCGATCTGGTGGAGGAGCTTGACGAGCTTATCGCGCGCTGGCAGGATGAGACTCTCAAGCGGGTGGACCCGAACGGCCAGAAGATGACGGCCATGCTGCGGGCGGTGCGGGAGATGTACGCCCACGATCAGCTGGTGGCAGAAGATCAGCGCAAGGCCGTGCAGTCCAAGGAGGACCACCAGCTCGTCTTCGAGCTGCTGCCAAATCCCGGCTTCCCCGACCCCTCCCTCCTCGGCGGTGTGCTCTTTCGCCACGCCCTGCAGGCGTGTGTGGTCCACGGTGCGGCCGGGTCGCTCGAGTCGCTGCTCAGCGAGACGCTCGTCAAGCCGACCGAGAAGGACAAGGGGAGGCTGGCTGTGGGGGAGGTGCGGACCAAGAGGGGCGGGAAGGTGCTCCAGTGGAGCGACCTGACCCTGGATCCTCTCGATCCATCGTGCATGTACCGTGATGAACCTCTCAACCTAGTCACCGCAGGTCCGCAGACAGACAGACAGGCAGACAGAGAGGCAGACAGAGGTATGGACGGCTCGGCACTTACTGCACGTTGGTGTGGATCTTGTCTGTGTGTTCAGACTATGTGCCGTCCCCCCTTGTCGTCCAGGCGGCCGTGGCCAACGCGCCCATCCAGACCATGAAGGTACGCCCGGAGCCCGTCGTGCTGGCTGCGTGTAAGGATACGTCTGTGTGTCTGTGTTATGCAGACGCTGCTGGCGTACAACGCCGATGTGAATGCGCGAGGCTATGCCGGCCAGACAAAGGTGATTGACGGCAAGATCAGCTACAACACCTCCGCCGTCGGTAAGCGGCAAGGAAAGATATTGGTGAAACACAGCCTCATTGCATTGCCTTCCGTGTGTGTGTGCAGGTGCGGCTGCCATTTGGCACCGTCCTGATCTCCTCGGTTTCCTTCTTCGTGAGGCAAGAGCCGACCCCGCAGTGCCGGCAGTCGTGACGTTTGAGCGCGGACACGGTAGGTACCACAGACCCCATCTATCAACGAATGACCTCCTGCGTCCCTGTTTGTGCCCCCTCCATCCTTCTCAGGCCCCCCCGTCCACCTTTCTTGTGACTTGCTTCAGCTGGTCTGCATGGGCAACCCGAATGCGCAGCCGGAGGGGCAACAGCAGGAGGCCCTGGCCACTATCGAGGTGCTCGATGCGGAGGGACTGATCAAGCACGGCGAGAATTGCAGCGGCATCTTCGACATCAACGGCAGGGACTCATATGGCGAAAGGCCTCTGCACCTGGCGGCCGGCAGCGGCTGGTGCAGCCTGGTCGAGTGGCTGCTCAAAGGGGGCGGACCCTGGGGCTGTCAACAAGTTCAACGATACGCCTCTCGCCGTCGCACATCTATTCGGCCGGAAGGTCAGCTCAAGGAATGGCGTCCAATAAGCCGTGACAGTGAGTGGGTCCGAGGTCGTGCTGCTGAAGCATTTCCCTGCCCAATCGGGGCGTTCGGCCACCAGCACTGCTGCAGGACTCAGCACGGGAGCGCCTTCCCTCCCCACGGCAAGCGAAAGATCGCCCCACACATATATGGCAGGGGCACCCACACACACACACACAGACCGCACCGTTTGTGTGGATGGATGGATACAGGCGGCTGCGGCTGGTGCGATGGAGGAGGGCGGCGGTGTCGACTCGCCAGCGGCCGCGGCACACGGGAGGAAGAGGCAGGAGCTGCGTGAGAAGGCGACCAAGGGCATGATGGAGATGAAGGCCAGAGCGCGAGGGATCCGTGAGGCATGCAAAGAGGATCAGCTTGCGGATCAATGCAAGCCCGTCGATCTCAAGGAGGGCTTCTCGCTTCTAACATGGCTCTTCACTCCCTTGGTCTCCTACATGAACGGCTTCGTGCTGAAGCAGGCCCTCCAGTCATCCGTCTGGTACGGCTCGGCTGGGTCACTCGACACACTGCTGCGGGGGAACTTCATCAAGCCGACGGAGGAGGAAGGCGACGGGGGTCTGTCGGTGGGGCTGGTGCGGGCGAGGGACCGGCGGATCCACAATTGGCGAGACCTTTCGCCCGCGAACATCGAGCCATTCGATGGCGAGAGAATCAAGCCTGACCGTAAGTGAATAAGCAAACCAAGATCGAAGGGTGATGTCTGATTACGTCTGGATGGCATCAGGGTATGTGCGGACGCCTTTGCTGATTCTGGCAGTCGCGTCTGATGCTCATTCTGCGCCGCAGATCGTCAAGGTACGCCAGTAGAGAGGCCACATGAGACCACTTGGCCGCCTCTCATGGGCTTGCCTGTCTGTCTGCCTCTGCAGTCGCTGGTCGAGTCCAATGCCGACGTCAACGAAATCGGTCCGGTGTTTTTGGGCGGTGAAACCAGAAAAGTTATGAAGTCATCGGCTGTCGGTGAGTGTCGAGAGGACAGGGCATGACAGAATAAGATGAGGAATGCCGGATGGACACAGGTCTGACTTGGTGTCTTCAGGTGCTGCTGCTTTCTATCATCGCCATGAGATCCTCGACTACCTTCTGCAGCAGCCGCATGCCGACCCGTCAGTCCTCTCTGAGGGGGACTTCCCTGCGGGCCTGAACATCCTTCAGCTAGCCTGCGTCGGCGCAGACGAGGACCCGGAAGGCAACCAAGATAACGACAGTGAGCGGCTGGTCGATTGAGCCAGACTGACCCGCGCTAACGCCCTTGTGTGTGGCGACAGCTCCCCGGCCCCATCCTGAGCCCACGGTGGGCAGTCACAAGAGCCGCAAGAAGGCCGCCAGCAAGGGCAGACGGGCCGGCAGCGACGATCTTGCGCAAGAGGCGGGACCACAGGCGGCCGGCGGCACATCGACGAAGGAGGCAGAGCAAAAGGAGAAGGCCCGGCAGTCGCGTGCAGTGGCCACCCTGGATGTGCTCGAACGCCGCGGCCTGACGCGCAGCGCACCGGCCGAGGGCAATGGAGGGCGTCGCAAGAGGCCCGTCCTGAGTCTGCACAGCCGTACCAAGACGGGCTGGTCTCTGCTGCATTGGGCGGCTGCCAATGGGTGGTCCGGGATTGTCAAGTGGCTGCTGGAGAGGGAACTGGACGCTGAGGCCGTCGAGATGTGTGGACATACACCCCTCGATGTCGCCCGCCTTTTGGGCCGGAAGGTCAGCAGACAGGAGGAAGGCACACCACGTCAGCCGCTTCATTTGTTTGGTGTGTTCAGTCTTGTGTGGACGTGTTGATGGCTCATCGGGAGGCCCGTCAGAAGGCGGCGGCTGCCGAAGTGCGGCGAGAGGAGGAGATGGCCCGCAAGAAGGAGGAGAAGGCCGCCAGAAAGCGCGAGCAGAAGCGTCTCAAGGTGCCGTGCACCGCTGCACACATGGATACTGCATGTGTGTGTCATTGCCTTCAGCGATTGGCGGCTCAGCAGGCCGAGTCAGCGGCAGATGGCGAGACGGAGGAGGCCGACGACACACAGCACCAGACTGAAGAAGTAGATCAGGTGACGGAGGAAGCTGCTGCGCCGCTCAGCTGCCCGCCAGACACACGCAGCGACAGGTGCAGACAGAGCCACCGACACTTCTCACCAGTGGCCCCCATCTGCTGTCCTTCTGTGTGTGGCGCACAGTGTCGAGCCGGCCTTCTCTGACGCCCCGAGTGGCCGCCACCAGCAACACGTCCTCAGCCAGGAGCCTCGAGCGGGTGTCGGCCCTTCGCCATTGCCCCCTCTCCCTCTCTCCCCTGCTCATGGCGCGCCGGCCCGCCACTTGTTTGCTGCCCAGCGGCCGTCCAGCTCATCGTAAGACACTCAGAGGAGACCCACCACACGCGGAGTGAGACGCTCTGTCGTGTGTGTGTGTGTGTGTGTGTCATCCGTCCGTCAGGTCCTCATTTGCCGACCCGCCGGCGTCATCGACGGTCAGCACGACGCCCGCCGACCGGCCCTCCTCCGCACAGACGTCAGCCCGACACGACCAGTGACTCCCAAACATAGCTCCAATCGACTGTGTGGTCTGTAGCTGTCAATGTGGCTGTGTGTGCGCAGGTTCTGCCCGGCTGATGTGACGGCTCAGCTGCGGGCCGACCTGAACGGATGCATCGACAAAAAGGAAAGGTCAGGCGTCACAACAACAACACGGCCATGTGTGTCATACCAATGTGTTTTTTGTTCCGTGTGTGTGCAGCCTGGAGGATCATGCAGGCCGACCATCCCCTCTTGCCAGCGTCGAGTTTGCGTCAACGGGCGGGGCCAAGAGAGGAAAGAAGAAAGACAAGAACAAGAAAGCGGCGGGTGGAGGTGCCGCATCGGCACCCCAGCTGAGTGATGCAGACGACGTCACAGGCCCGTAAGTAAATGTCAAGATGCGACACACGTAGACAACACACATCGATGGTATCCTGGCTTTCCTGCGGCTCTGGTGTTGGTTCTGAGACGCCTTGTGGCCCTCTGTCCGGCCCTCCAGGCATCCGTTACGGCAACCAGCCGCCATTGTGTGTGCGTGGCAGTCTTGAGGATGAGATCGATGCCATGCCGTCATCTTCGTCGAGCGCTCCCCCGCCGCCCGCACCGAGGTCGGCACAGATATACACACAGATATGGAAGAGGCCGCATCGCCATGCGTCTCCTTGTCTGATGTGTGTGGGTGCAGTGCTGCTGCGGATGACGAGGACCGGGAGCAGCAGGAGGCGATCGCCGCTTCGCTGCAGTCGGCTGCGGATCGGTGGGAGGTCATCAAGAGTGACGCCAACTCAGCTTACAAGCAGAAGAACCAGTGAGCACAGACGATGAGCACACGAATACTCGCGTGAGGCATAGTCGCCTGTTTGTGGCTGTGTGAATGCGGCAGTCTGGAAGCGAAGCTGCAGGCTGAGAAGGCCATGGCCGAGGCGTCGAAATCCCACGAGCAGCGCCTGACCGAAGAAAACGACAGACTCAAGATGGCCAACCCCACGTACGCGCAGCCGTAACCCATCCATACACTATCCCCCTTTCATGTATCTGTCTTTCCTGCTGCAGCCTCACCGACGACGAACTCGACCTAAAGGCCACTGCTGATGACGTCAAGTACTTCCAGGACACTATCAACGGCCGCTTCAACGTGCTGCAGGCGCTCGTGCTCTCGAGTAGCGACCAGCTGGTGCATCTCGCCCAGAACACTCCTGATGGGTCATCGTCATCGGAGGAGCCGGCCCCCGACACACATGACAGGGAGCTTCGCCCCTACTTGCCTCCAGAGGCCCCCTCGCCGACCAGCCCTCCATCTGCTGCGGCAGGCGAGTCTGTCCAATGGCTGGAGGAGCTGGAGAGCAGCGCCCTCGAGATCCCCCAGAAGTGTGTGCTGGCGTCCAAGCGGCTGGAGGAAATCGATCAGGACATCGCCAAGTGAGAAAGCGCAGAGAGAAATGGCCAAAAGAGATGGATTCTTGTGCATCTGTGCCGCCTGCTGCTGCTGCAGGTTGGTGTATGAGGTCGGCCAGGCCGCTACCGACCGTGAGGCATCCGAGACCCGTCTGCGGGGCCTAATCGAGCAGCACGACGAGCTCAAGCGACGCGACGGGGAGCGGTGGGGCACACCACACCCACAGCCATCCTTGCCACTTCATCCATCTCTCTCCATGTCTCTCTTCTGTCTGTCAGGCTGACCAGAGAGAAGCTGACCACCCTCAGGTCGCTCGAGGACGTCATGGACTTCCAGCTGGCCGCCTCGCATGAGATCCAGCGTCTCAAAGGAGCTCCTGGTGCGCTCGAGCGACCACCAGAGGCGGCTCGAGAGTGAGGACTTCCAGCGTGACGTGGAGCGGCGCATCGCGGCCGAGCGCGAGGCGCGTGAGAAGGAGGCAGCCGAGCAGCTAAAGCGTCAGGAGGAGGCGACGGCCAAGAAGATTGCTGAGATGCAGCAGCAGCTGGATGAGGAGAGGGGCAAGCCCAAGCAGAACATCACATCATGCGTGGTGTGCCAGGAGGAGCCCAATGTCATCATCATGATGCCCTGCCGGCACAAGTGCCTCTGCACAGGTGGCTGGCTGGGTGGGTGCCTGTCAGACCAGCCGCTGTGTATCACGGATTGATGGTCTCATTCATGTGGGCATTCAGGTTGTTTCGAGAATCTCAAGAAGACGCACACCGGCAGGAAGATGCCGTGTCCCATCTGTCGCCGGCAGTGCAGCAAGGAGGACTCGGGGACCGTGTACGAGCAGGGCCTCTGTGATGACTGAATGAACAGTGTGTGGAATGGACGGACAATTCGTTGGCATCCTTTGCACGTTTTGCCTTCTCTCTTTGGCGTGGAACTCATGTGTGAGGATGTCTGTCTTTTCTCATACCTCTAGGCAAATGCATACGACGAGTGAGCAGTGCGTGGAATGGACAATTAGTGGGCCTTTGTACGTTTTTCCCTCTCCCTTTTGCGTGGATCTCAGCTCTAATCCTCTCGGTTTTGTGTAGATCCTCTCTATCTCTGTATGTGTGTGTGTGCGTATTTATGTGGCTCTCGCATCTCTCACATGCACAGTGTATGTAATGTCAGTGCATGGTTTGTAGTGTGTCATGCAGTGAGTGTTTTGTGTGCCTGTGAGACATGCATGGCGTTCCATGAGACTGAATTTATCGGGGTCCCTGAAGTGATGGATGATAGCCACACGTCCAATGACATGATGACAGACATGCATTCATTCGTCGACTGATGGCTTTCATCAGATCTAATATATGTGAAGTCCCATTGGATATCGCCATGAGTTCCCACACGCATCATCAAGAGTCACTGACTGCGCGCAAACCATGTACACACACAGCTATCTGTGTGGCTTGTGCTGCCTGAGCAGATCAATAAGCTTCCTGAGCCCTGCGCTCTGCCGACTCGCATCCACACTCATCCGGTGTGCCTGTACCATCTCCTGGCACCCCGGCGCCCCAGCCATGCACTGTGAGATGCTCTCCTCATACTCCTCGTCATACACAGCTCGGGACAGACTCCTGCATGCGGCACACGGATGGACGCACAAAATGACGTGTGTGTATGAGGATGTGGGCGTGCGGACCTTTGCAGGGGTGAGAGTCTGAGTGCCTCGATGAGGGCATCGGGATCGTCCAGGGCACTGGGGCTCAGGCGCAGTTGGGTCTCCTGGGGTGTGTTGACCTTGTCAGCAGGGGCATCCACCCAGATCGTGAAACAATACCTGCAAACAGGCAGGCAAACCAGACATACACACAAGGCAATGCCCAGGTATCATATCAACCCAACGGAGAGTCTGACGTCGGGTCTCACTCACCTTTCCGCATGGCATGGCATCACTCGGTGCAGCACTCTGTCGGACCTGTCAATCCATCAGCCACCCATCCATCCAGCCAGCCAGCCATCCATCGACTAGCCATCCATCCATCGGCTCATCCATCGGTCGGCTGGCCTCACTCACTCAGCACCAGAAGATGACCATGCGGGCCATAAGGGGCGGGACGACCACAGCCTCCTTCAGGAACGGCAGCAGCACGATCTCACCGCCATCGCCCTCCTGCCAGTCGGGGTTGAGGTACACCAGACATGTGACCTTTCGGTTGCACGGCGGGCCCGCGTTGTCATAGCTGACACACACCACACACACATACACATCACACACGATAGATAGACGGCAGATCAATCCGTTGGCTGCTCCTGCTCAGTTTGCTCACTGGAATGGGAAGCATCCGCCGCTGCCCCTGTTGCACTGTATCTTGATGCTCCGCGCCTCTGTCCCCTTCAACAGCTCCACACTTGACCCCAGCCACTTCAGGCAGCACGACAAGGCCTCCACCAACGCGTCGCTGGCCCAGAGCGCATCGAACTCAGGCACCTTGGACCGGGCCTCGCCGTGCAGGTCCAGCTCGTAGCTGACACGCGCAGAACGAACTTGCAATGAGGACGTGAGAGAGCATCTGTGAGTGCACTGTGTGTTCCTCTTCCTCTCTTTGTACTGTACACGTTTGGTTTGGTGAGCAGCGCCTGTCCGAACTTGGTTCGGTTGGGTATCAGCAGGCCGCTCTCCATCAGCCATACCGCCTCCTTCCGCAGTGCAGTCGCCCACTCGTGGGAGAAACAGCCCTGCCAACAATACCACACCCACACAGCACAGCACAGCGCAGCACATCCAATCAATGCGCTGGAATGAACAGACCTCCGTGTCCACTCCACGCCTACGTCGATGATTGCGAAGCCCTCAGCGACCTGCAAACAACACCAGAAGGCAGAGATCCACGACAGAAGGGCTGTGTCTGTCTGCCGTGTGGTCCTCTTCCGTACCAGGTGGGCTATCTTGTCCTCTGTGATGACGCTGCTGAAGCAACTGAAATCTCGGGAAGGACTCATCAGACAAACAGTAGCCAGCCAAGAAGATCTACTTCCGCATCCCACTCGCTGCGAGTGGAGCTTGAAACCACTGGAGCTCGTAAGCTCGCAGATTGGAAGGCGATGTCGTTGACCTCACTCATGGCCTTGAGGAGAGCCAGATGATGTAGTCTTGAGGCCTCTTGGCTTTTCGGCCGCCTTGTGCGTCTGATGGAGCAGGTGCGGACCAACTGGCGGGACAGGCGGTATCCCCTGTCGGTCCCATTGGCCCTGGACGTGCTCAAGCGTGACTTCAATGCCAGCAAGAACCACCAGAAAAAGATCGACAAACTCTGCGAGACCTATGACAGCTTCAGACGCGTCCGGGGCGATGGTGCGTATGGCCACGAAAGAAAAAAGGGATGGGTCGCCAGGGGCGTTGATTGCAATGGCGTGGACCTGGTGTGTCGTTTCGGCGGCTTGGCTTGGTGTGTGGTGTGTTTGTTGTGTGGTGCAGGGAACTGCTTCTATCGTGCGTTGGGTTTCGCCCTGCTGGAGTTGCGCGAGACGGCCGCGTACAACTTTGACATTCCTGCCGATGTGCTGGCGGAGGATGACCTGGCGGTGCAGTATGGCCGTTTGCAGTGCCTCAGGGGCAGTGAGCTCTACTGGCAACTCATGACCGACGCTGACCTGGACCTCGCCATAGGTACCTACCTTTGTAACCACACTTACCTACACCACAGCATAGTAAAGCACAATCGCGCCGTGTCATGTGAGTTGTCCTGTCCTGTCCTGTCCTGTCCTGTCCTGTCCCTCCTCTCTCTCCTTTGCTTCATTCAGTCAAGATGCTCCGCCGGCTGGTGCGCAAGTACATGTTGGAGCACGCCGACGAGTCTGTGACGCCCTCTGAGGACGGTGTGCTGACCATCTCCGAGTACGTGTCGACCTACCCCATCCCCGCCACCTCCAGCCCCAGCCCCAGCGCCGGCGACGCGTCGTCCCCCGCCGACTCACCCACACTGCAGGAGGCATGTGGCGGCAAGAGCAGCAGCTCGGGCGCCACGCAGCAGCAGGGACAGCAGGGACAGGCTGCTGAGGAGGAGTTTTTCCAGAGTGTGGAGCAGTACGTGGAGATGGAGATCATGGAGATGGGTGAGAGGCGGAGGAGGGAGGGAGGGAGGGAGGGACTGATGCATCCATCGTGGCTGAGGGGCTGAGGTTGTGTTGGTGTATCTGCATCTGTATCTGTATTTGTGTGTGGGTGTGTCAGGTCGTGAGGCGGAGGGCGGTTTGGTGTTTGCCGTGGCCTCGATAGCGCTCAACGTCAACATCCACATCGTGCAGCTGGTGACAAAACAAAACCACACGACAGCAACGCACCCCTCCCTCTCCTCTCTCGCTTGACTTACTCACTCATGTCCTCTCTCTGTGTGTGTCAGGACAACACCGACGCTCTGTGTCCGCTGTACGAGTACCCCGAGGGATCGGTCATGATGCCCGGCACCACTCCTGTCGTCCTCCTATTCCGTCCAGGCCACTACGACCTCCTCTACGCCACGTACGTCTCCAATCGCACACACACACGGTGCACACGGCATACGTATTGCTGCCTGTCTGTCTGTCTGTCTGTGGTGTGGTGTGGTGCCATGCCGACAGGTCCCAGACGCGTCGGTTCAAGGAGATGAGTGCGTTCCAGGCACAGTGTAGCGACTGTGGGGCCTCCACCGTGCTGCGAGCACTGGTACGTCATCTGGGGACACAACCGACCACCCCACGCCTCAATGATCGAACGAACGGTGTGTCATCTCCCTCCTCGGGGTGTGTGTTCCACAGGACATGTTGATCTGCTTCCACCGGTTGTGTGTCACCTGCAAGAAGAAACTCGGGCGGGAAGAACACGTAAGAAGCAAGCAAACTTACCACACACACGCACACACACACATTCACACACACATGGGAGGGTGTGGTGTGTATGTGTGGGCCCCACTTCTTGTGTTGTGTGCAGGAGTCTGTTGATGACCTGGAGTGCCCCGTGTGCTCGCACTCGACGGCCGAGGGTGCGGACGGCAACGGCACGGGGCAGAAGACCATGCAGTGCCCCATCTGCACATGTCGGGAGGAGCTGCTCAGACTGCCGTGCTGCAAGAAGGTATGCATTGCAATCACCTACCTACACCATCATGACCGACACACGTCCACACACTCTACTCTTTACACATGGTGTGTTGCTGGTGGGTGGATGGCTGGATGGCTGTGTGCAGATAGTGTGCAGCACCTGTGCGAACGACCACCTCACCTACAATCGCAGGACGACCCTCCTCCAGGACGTAAGGACACACACACACAGCGAAGCAGCTACCGACTGAAACACACACACACACACACGTCCCTCTAACTTTATCGCTTTGTATGTTGTTCTTGATTGATTCAGAACACGCGTGTGTTCGTGACGGAGTGCCCCATCTGCAGGCACAACGACCTGTACGCCTACTTCACGGCAGCCTTCGACTCACAGACGCCCATGTCGCCCCTCCCAGGCCCCAGCGGCGGCCGCACCGTCAGCCCCGCCGCCCCGTTGATGTCGCACCCATCGCCCCCGCCCGTTAGCCCCCCGAGCGACACAGACGAGCCACCCGCACACCCACAGCCACCATCGCCGTCCGTGTGGGGCAGCCGAGACGGCATCCGCCCACCTGCGAGTGCTGCGGGCAGCCTGCCTCCTTTGGTGGTGGGGGCGCCCCCTCCGCCGCTGAGGCCTCCGCCGTGTGGTCTGGTGTTGGTGACCGACGAGGGCACGCTCAAGGCGGGATGCGGCAACCCCAAGTGCACGAGCGAGCACAGGCACCGCTACCTCATCAGGGGCACCTGCTGCGACCTGGTCATGTGTGTGACCTGCTGGAGCACCTGCACCGAGTACTCGGGGCCGCAGGGGGAGGCCCACTTCAACTGCCCACGGAGCTGCGGCATGGAGACGGACTCGCCAGCGAGATTCAACCGCAAGGCGTGTCGCGACTTCTTCCTCGAGAGCTACGGCCCCCTGCGGTGCGCCGAGATGCAGATCCCCGTGGCGGCGACGACACCTGCTGCCACGACCCCCCTGCAGGCCAGCCCCACGGCCATCGACGCGCCCCCCGCCCCCCGGCCACCGAAGCGGACCGTCAACGTCTATGCATATTCCGGTCAGTCGGCGAGCACCACCAACGGGGTCACCGGCACGCACCATCGACCGGCCCCGGCTGGCCGCGAGGCGCCCTCGGCCTCGGTAGACCGTGACGTCTACGAGAAGGAGTGGGGGTCGGCTGCTGACGGTGGCAAGGACGACAGCCGGTGGCACTACGAGCCCATGCAGAACGGCTACAGCCCTGCCGATGCTGCTGTTGCGTCGTCCTGTGCATCGCCCCCGCCCCCGCCCCCACCTCCCCCGCCGCCCCCACCACCCCCTCCCGGCCCGTGCGGCAGCGGCCATCATCGCATGACCAACGGTCGTTCTGCCGGGCGGGGCCTGGCACTCCCTGACAACCGACGTGACAGCCGGAAGGGCATGCGCAACGGTCGTGGGGGCGGTGGGCGCCCCATCGATCATCGGTCGGAGGAGGGCCAGCACGACCACATGCTCAATGGGGTCAATGGTGTGAGTGGGGGCCAGCGGCGCGATCATGGGAACTTGAATGGCGGCCCCGGGCTGCTGCCCACCCCAGACATGCCACCCCTGCCAGCCGAGAGCGGCAGCAACAAGATTTCTGTGCGACCAGTGACCTTCTCCTCGGCGCCAGGGAGCGGCGGCACCAAGCCCAAGGCCAACCACCAGGCACCCACCAGGCAGCAGCGACAATGCCCCCCGCGGGCACCAGCAGCATCGTCGTCATCTGCGGGGCGACCGGCCTCTGAGTGGAAGGAGAAGAGCGCCCCCTCGCCCCCCTCTCCCGCCCCCAACAATGTCAAAGTCGATTCGGTGGTGGATCTGCCGCCCCCTCCCCTGATCGACACCAAGGCGCCCCCGACGCAGGACGAGAGGGATGGGTGGAGGGCCGTCCGCCCCAAGTCCTCCAGAAGCGGCGAGGTCGATGGGCCCAAGAAGGGGTCGGTGGCTGCTGCTGCCAGTGCAGCCGAGGAGGGGGCGGAGGGGGCGCCCTCGACCGGCAGTAGAGACGGAGGGGCATCGCAGGCCACGGGCGAGGACCTGTCGCGTGAGGCGGCCAAGACGGCCAGACGCAAGCCGCGCAAAGACAAGGACAAGGACAGCAGCGGGACACCACCACTCCCACCCAAGACAGACAAGGAAGAGCCGGTCGTCACCGACAAGACGGCAGACAAGCCACAAGCGGAGGAGGAGCCGTCGCCCGCTGCCGCCACCATCGGCCAAGAGCCACCAGCTCCGAAGGATGAACCAACTGAGCCCGCCACCGTCCGCCCACCCAACGAAGACGCCGATGAGGCCAATGAGGGTGAGGACCACCCCGGCTCCCCTGCCGACACAGAGGCAGCCACTTTCGGCAGGTCGACCAGGCGGCGGCACAAGGGCAAGAAGGGCAAGAAACACAGCAAGAGGCGGGAAGATGTCGAGGAGGCAGAAGAGGGCGAGGGGGATGGTGATGAGGACGAGGAGGAGCCGCAGGGGCAGGACGGGCCCACTGGCCATGATAGGTCGCCCTTGCTGCCGCATCAGTCGTCGTCTAGCTTTAGCAGATGGGTAAGACAGCACACCACTCCCACACGGACAAAGCGTCCATGCATCATATGCACGAATTCCTTCGCGTGTCGCCTGGGGTCATGTAGGTTCCCAGTTTCTTCAAGCTGGGCAGTTCCTCCAGTACCGTTGTCGACCGAGCCGCAGAGGAGTCCCTCGCAGCAGCAGCAGCAGCAGCAGCAGCCACCGACGGCTCTCCCCCGTCCGCCTCCCCCAGCCCCCCAAACAGCCGGCCGCGCAAGGGCAGCAAGCACCAGAAGGCATCAGCCAAGGACAACGCGACGAGCGGCGACTCCCACACTGCCGCGGACTCGGCTGCCGCCAGCAGCAGCAGCAGCAGCAGCTCCTACTACAACAAGCTGATAGGGGCCCTATGGCGGCGCGGGAGCGACAGCCGCGAGTCGATAGGCGAGAATGTGGCTGAGGTGATCAAGACCAAGAGTGGTGCCAACGACAAGGCGAAGCACGCCGACAAGCAGGCCAACCTTTTGATAGAGGAGGAGGAGAAGGAGAAGGAAAAGAAGGCCAGGGAGGAGGAGCGCAAGAGGCAAAGGCAGGAGGGCTACAAAAAGGCCGGAGGGGGCAAAAAGGGCACCAGCAAGTGAACCCAACCCCGTAGCCAGCCAGCCGATCAGCCAGTCGCATACGACAAGAGCTGTTTTGTTTAGTCGTTCATTGGCTGGATCGGTCGCTGGCTGTGGCCTGCCTGCGTGCGTCGCTGTAGGGGGGGTGTAGAGGGGGGGGAGGGGGGAGGGGAGGCGGGGAATGTCTTTGCGTGTGTGGGTGTGGGTGTGGTTGGGCTGTAATGTATTTGTGCATCTAATGGAGCGGGACAATGGCATGAAGCATGCGATAGACAGGGACGAGGGATGGCTGCCAGACCTCACTGACTGACTGACTGACTTGTGTACCGCACCCCGCCGCACGCACCGACCATGGATGGATGTATGGATGGATGGATGGATGGCTCATCCATAGCAAGCAAGCAAGGTGATGCGTCCTGTCTGTCCATTTGAGCTGACTGAGTGAGCTTGCAGTGCCTGCCTGTCTGCCTGCCCAGTTTCCCCCGAGTGAATTAATGCTGCCTGACCGATGGTTGCAGTGCGCCTGTGTGGGCGAGTGAGGTCACAATTAGCTAGCTGTCCATATGTATGGTGGGTGCTGCGACAATGACTTGATTCCGATGGATCGACGTGTGGTGGTGGGTGTCATTGCACCCTCCTATCGGCAGCTGTCGGTTAAAGGTGCAAATTTGGTTGGTCATCGGTGGGTGGGCTTAGGGGGTCATCGGTGGGTGGGCTTAGGGGGACGGCACTGGAGAAGGAGAAGGCATCACATTCAGCCCACGAGGGCGCACTTGCAGCGGTCAATCGACCATACCATGCACCATGCAGGCCACGCACCACCAGACAGCCGCACTGTTCGTCTGTCGCGTCTCTGACTGACAACGCACCAGAGATACACGAACCCCGCGCACACACACGCACTCCATCCATCCATCCCTGCCGAGCTGTCGGCTGGGATGGACGGCTCACTCACCCATGCCCACCGTCCGTGAGCAAACCGCCGGTCGGTCGGTCACTGGGAAACGAGTGGGCGGTGTGCGGTTTACTTCTTCTGCTCAGCCGCCTCAGCCTTCTCCCTTGCACGCTTCTCGCGACGGCCGAACTGCACACACAGACACACCAAACGAGAATGAGCGAAGTGTGTGTGGTCTTGCCCGTGGCCCTTTAGCTATGTGTGTCTTACGTATTTGGCGTCGACTTTCGCCTTTCGCAGCGTGTTGTAGGCCTCGAACTGCCTGTCGTCGTCAGTGATGGCACGAGCCTGACACACATTCACATCCACAAAAACGTGTGTAGAGTGATCGATGCACCGCACCCAGCGTCCCTCCCTCTCTCTCCCACCTTGATGCGCAGCGAGGGCTTGGGAATGGGGATGATGTCCTTTGAGGCGTTCTGCTGGACGTTCTGGATCTCGCTGCGCTCGGTGTCGCCGGTCTTGGCCTTGTTCTTGCGGGGGAAGATGATCAGCTTGGACTTGTACTCCTTCAGGCGGTCCACGTTAGTGTTGAGCGACTCCATGCTCCGGTTCTTGCGACGCCAGTCCACAGAGATGCCGATCGTGCGGGCAGTCTTGCGGGAGATGCCAGCCTCCTGATCACACACACGCACACATGAGTACCGTCTTCCCATCCTCCCCCATGTGTGTTGTGTGCAACGGACTGACCTTGAGTTCTTCAAGAGTGAATCCGCGACCCCGTCGGACCTTGAGGTTGTAGCGCTGCGTGGGCGGGTGCACCACCGGCCGGAGGAGCTTGGCGACGGGTCGGGGTGCGAGTTCTGCGGCCTTCTTCTGCCTCGCGAGTCGGCGGCTCTTCTTGCGGCCTGGCTGGTTGAACCAAGTCTTGACGTACCGCTGCCAGTACTTGTGGAAGTGCACGTTGGGCAATACGTTGTTGTGCTTCACCATCCTGACCAACCAAACCACCACCCAGCGGCACACTACAGCCTGAGATTACCCACCGCACAGATGGCAACGGCACAGATCTGAGGATGCTGACCAGCCAGATGCGTTGGCCTGCCTCCTCCCTCCTTCCCTGCTCACCTCGCCCTTTCTCTGGCGCTGCTATTTTGTGTGTGTTTGCGAGCTTAGAGGGGGGGAGATCTGCAAGCTCGCAAAAAGAAGAAGGTCGCAACGAACGAACAGGTACACCAAAGAGGGGGATGAGGAGAGGGAGGGGTATAGTAGAAGGGAGAGAGTGAAAAGCTGCACCGGGTAGACCTACAGGCAGAGATCTGTGTGGTTTGTGCGTTGTGCGTGTTCAGCTAGCTCCTGATCTCAGCCTGTCTAGCCTGCCAGCATGGAAGGCAAGAAGGAGAAGGAGCCCACGAAGAGGGTCCAGACGTTCGGACGCAAGGTGGGCGCGACCGACATGGGGTGGTCTGTGAGCTGGATGGCCGTGTCACTCCCTCCCTCTTGTCTGTCTGTGCGTTGCTGTGCCTCTCAGAAGAATGCCGTGGCTGTGGCCCTCTGCCAGGAGGGATCTGGGCACATCAAGGTGGGCGTCAGCGTCAGCCTGCACCGCACCCTGTGTGTGTTTGATGTGTGGTGGTTGGCTTCTGTATCCCGTTAGGTCAATGGTTGTCCGTTGGATTTGATGCGTCCCGAGATCCTGCGCGTGAAGCTGTTCGAGCCGGTGCTGATACTGGGGAAGAAGAAGTTCGAGAGCATCGACATCAGGCTGAGGGTCAAGGGCGGCGGATACACCTCACAGATCTATGGTGCTACGCAGACACACCAACACCAGACCGCCAGAGGTGGCTTGGCTTGCCTCATCTCTCATCTGTGTCGTGTCGTCCGTTGTGTTCTCATCAGCCATTCGTCAAGCCATCGCCAAGGCCATCCTCGCATACTACCAGAAGTGTAAGCAACACAACACCACAACGCACATCACGGCCTGCCGGCTGTGTGTGACATGACGCGTCCATTCCATCCCTCCGTCTGTCCGTGTGTGTCTCGTGTGTCAGATGTGGACGAGTCGAGCAAGAAGGAGCTCAAGGACACCTTCAACGCCTACGACCGGTCCCTCTTCGTCGCAGACCCCAGAAGATGCGAACCCAAGAAATTCGGCGGTCGGGGCGCACGCGCCAGATACCAAAAGTCTTACCGTTAGGCCATGGCAATGCGACACGAGGGGTAGTACCTTCTGCTCCCATACTCCTTCATTGGCTCGCCACAGTCAGACAGGCAGGCAGGCAGACAGTCGGGGGCTTTGCCCGTCTGTGTGTTCTGTGTGGTCTGTTGCTGTTGGTGTGGACGGATGTGTGTGATGTGGCGGGCGTGACGGTCAACGGTGGCTGGTGGGGAGGAGGACACGGCTCATGGCTCCACGAATGGACCCTACATGCCATTTGCCTTGTGTGACGCGGTGTGAACTTTAAACCATCAGTGTGTGTGACGGTGGCGAAGTGGTATTCACAGACTATAAAGGGCACACACGCACACGCAGGCACCATGCACACACACTGTCATCTCACTCACGACATCCATGCAGCCAAGTAAAGAGGTCTGTCTGCCACCAATACAGAGGTAGGTATACACACAGCGATGACTGACTGATTTGAGTCCGCGCCATCGGCGCATGAGAGCTACAGCTACGCACACGTCGGTCTACCGGCTGTCTCTGTCTGCCGCTGCTCACGTGGCTGTTGTGATGCCGTCGACGGTGCTGGCGTAGTGGGCCTCCTGGTTGCACATCGGACACCTGAGCTGGGCGTCACGGGCGATGTTGTCAGGCACTCGCCGCTGCAGCGCCTCCAGGCGGGCCTTCTCCTTCTTGGCCGCCTCGTGGGCCGCCGCCATGTCGCGCCAGCAACCCTCACACAGACACTTCTGCACACACACACACGGACAATGGTGGTATGCGACTCGGTCTGGGTGTATCGTGACTGACCTGCCGACATGGGAAGAATACGACTGTTGGCGTCTCCGAGATGCACATGACGCAGGTGCCCTCCCCGCCATCGCCATCAGCAGCGGCAGCGGCAGCAGCAGCGGCCGTCTCCTCCTTCTCGAGTGCAGCCTGACGCACGGCGGCCTCTTTCGACACCTCCCGCAGCTCTTGTTTGGCCCTCTTGATGTCGCGCTTGAAGGCATCCACCGCTGCGATGCTCGTGAGCGACTCGAGACGAGTAGGGGTCAGCCTGACCATGGGCCGAGAGGCATAGGGAGACATGCATTCCCGGCCGTCTGTGTGTGTTGGTGGGCCTTTGTTTACCGTTTCTTTGCCTCTTGCTGCAGTGTGTGGTGCTCTTGCTCGAGCGGCTGTAGTGCGGCCTCGGCCTCGGTGCACACGTCCGTCATCCGAAAGATGTCACCCTCCAACCTGACAGGCAGACAGACAGGCAGACAGACAGACAGCCAGACAGATCAACCCGATGGGTTCCTTTCTGGCTACCATAAGGACCGCCCTGTCTTACTGGTCTATGTCGTATTGGATGTGTTGTATGGCCTCGAGCAGCTGATCCTCAGTCGACGACTCGTTCAACAACACCCGCATCGCACTACACACCGGCACGCCGCACCTGATTGATACACACACAAGGGAGCGCCACAGAGATGCGCCGACGTGGGAATGGATGGTGCGTCTTCCTTCCGTCCCACCAACCCTTCAGCAGCGGATGTGGGCGTGGAGGCAGACGCAGCAGCTGCTGCCGCTGCGGCACTCTGCTGCTCGGCTGCGGGTGCCTTTGTGGGTTTGGATGCGCCGCTCTGCAGCCGCATTGCATGCTGGACGGCCGTCTCCATGAGCTCATCGAGCCGCTCCTCTTCGCGGCTGATCTTTGCCTCAAACTCACGCACTTCGGCAGCCGTGGACAGCGACGCCAGCACATCGTGGCTCAGGCTGCATCAACAGCATACAGAGCGGAGCCGCTGTGTTGGGCCCTCTCCTCGTGTGTATCGCTCACTTGGGCGTGACGTATTTGAGTCGTCGTATGTTTGTCTTGAGCTCCTTGACGCGATCGGCCGCCCGCCGACGGGCAGCCAACAGATCACTGTACTGATCCTCCAGACTGCACACACATGGAACAAAACATATTGGTATGACACACATGGCCGTGTTGTTATGTGTCCTGACCTCTCTTTCTTGTCGATGCATCCGTTCAGGTCAGCCCGCAGCTGAGCCGTCACATCAGCCGGGCAAAACCTGCGCACACACAGGCACATTGACAGCTACAGACCACACAGGCGATTGGGGCTATGTTTGGGAGTCACTGGTATTGTCGGGCTGACGTCTGTGCGGAGGAGGGCCGGTCGGCGGGCGTCGTGCTGACCGTCGATGACGCCGGCGGGTCGGCAAATGAGGACCTGATGGATGGATCACGGATGGATAACACACACAACAGATCGAGTGACTCGGTGTGTGGTGGGTCTCCTCTGAGTGCCTTACGATGAGCTGGACGGCCGCTGGGCAGCAAACAAGTGGCTGGCCGGTGCGCCATGAGCAGGGGAGAGAGGGAGAGGGGGCAATGGCGAAGGGCCGACACCAGCTGGAGGCTGCTGGTGGCGGTCACTCGGGGCGTCAGAGAAGGCCGGCTCGACACTGTGCGCCACACACAGAAGGACAACAGATGGGGGCTACTGGGTAGAAGTGTCGGTGGCTCTGTCTGCACCTGTCGCTGTGTGTGTCTGGCGGGCAACTGAGCGCAGCAGCTTCCTCCGTCACCTGATCTACTTCTTCAGTCTCGTGCTGTGTGTCGTCGGCCTCCTCCGTCTCGCCATCTGCCGCTGACTCGGCCTGCTCAGCCGCCAATCGCTGAAGGCAATGACACACACATGCAGAATCCATGTGTGCAGCGGTGCACGGCAAAGGCACCTTGAGACGCTTCCGCTCGCGCTTTCTGGCGGCCCTCTCCTCCTTCTTGCGGGCCTGCTCCTCCTCTCGCAGCAGATCGGCAGCCGCCGCCTTGCGACGGGCCTCCAGATGAGCCATCAACACGTCCACACACAACTGAACACACCAAACAAATAAAGCGGCTGACGTTGGTGTGCCTCCTGTCTGCTGACCTTCTCGCCGACTCGGCGCGCGACATCGAGGGGTGTTTCGTTTTCGTTGTTGACGGCCTCAGCGTCCACTCCCCTCTCCAGCAGCCACTTGATCACCTCAGACAACCCATTACCAGCCGCACCATGCAGCAGAGACCAGCCCGTCTTGTCACGGCAGTGCAGACTGAGGACGGGCCTCTTGCGACGCCCTCCATTGCCCTCGGCCGGTGGGCTGCGCGTCAGGCCGTGGCGTTCGAGCACATCCAGGGTGGCCACTGCACGCGACTGCCGGGCCTTTTCCTTCTGCTCTGTCTCCTTCGTCGCTATGCCGCCGGCCGCCTGCTGTCCCGCCTCTTGCGCAAGACCGTCGTTGCTGGCCCGTTTGCCCTTGCTGGCGGCCTTCTTGCGGCTCTTGCTGCCCACCGTGGGCTCAGGAGGGGGCCGGGGCGCTGTTGCAACACACAAGAGCGTCAGCACGCGTCAGTCTGGCTCAATCGACCAGTCACTCACCGTCGGTATCTTGGTTGCCTTCCGGGTCCTCGTCTGCGCCGACGCAGGCTAGCTGAACAATGTTCAGGCCCGCAAGGAACTCCTCCTCAGAGTGGACTGACGGGTCGGCATGCGGTTGGCGGAGAAGGTAGTTGAGGACCTCAGGCCAGTGGTACATGGAAGCAGCACCTGAAGAGACAAAGTCAGATCTCCCTCCATCCGGCATTCCTTATCCTGTCCTGTCCTGTCCTTTCGACACTCACCGACGGCCGATGACATCATGAGTTTTTTGGTCTTGGGGTCCACAAACACCGGGCCGATTTCGTTGATGTCGGCATTGTACTCGACCAGCGACTGCACAGAGGCAGACAGGCACACAGACGGACCCATGAGAGGCGGCTAAGTGATGTCATGTGGCTCTCTACTGGCGTACCTTGACGATCTGCGGCGCAGAGGGAGCATCAGACGCGAACGCCAGAATCAACAAAGGCATCCGCACATAATCTGATGCCATCCAGGCATAATCAGACATATCGCCCTTCGATCTTGGTTTGATTCTTCACTTACGATCAGGCTCGATCATCTCGCCCTCGAATGGCTCGATGCTGGCAGGCGAAAGGTCTCGCCACTTGAGGTACCGCCCGTCCCTCGCCCGCACCTGCCCCGCCGACAGCCCCTCGTCGTCACTCTCCTCCGTCGGCTTGATGAAGTTTTCCTGCAGCAGTGTGTCGAGCGACCCAGCCGAGCCGTACATGGCACATGACTGCAGGGACTGCTTCAGCACGAAGCCGTTCATGTAGGAGACCATGGGCTTGGGCAGCGACGACAGCAGCGAGAGGTCCTCCTTGAGACCGACAGACTTGCGCCGCCCCTCTGGCGTCAACAGGTCGTGTAAGCACGCCTCCCGGATCGCTCTCGCCGTGGCCTTCATCTGCACCACTCCCCTAGTCGCCCTGTCACGCAGCTCCTGCCTCTTCCTCTCGTGTGCCGCGGCCGCTGGTGAGTCGACACCCCCGCCCTCCTCCATCGCACCAGCCGCAGCCGCCTGCATCCCGCCATTCACACAAACGGTGCGGTCTGTGTGTGTGTGCTCATGGCATATGTGTGTGCGGGGCGGTGCTTCGCTTGCCGTGGGGACGGAAGGCGCTCCCGTGCTGGCTCCTGCGGCAGTGTTGGTGGTCGTCTGCCCCGGAGGGGCAGTGAGATGCTTCAGCAGCACGGCCTCGCACTCCTGCGAAGCACGACAAAGCCGACTCACTCACTGTGACGGCTCATTGGACGCCATTCCTTGAGCTGACCTTCCGGCCATGGCTTCGTGCCAAGTCGAGAGGCGTTTCGTTGGACTTCTTGACAGCCCTAGGGTCCGCCCCATTCTTGAGCAGCCACTCGACTAGACCGCACCAGCCGTTGGCGGCGGCGATGTGCAGAGGCGTTTCGCCGTATGAGTCGCTGCAGTTGATGTCGAAGATGCCGCTGCCGCTCCCGCCGTACTTGATCAGTCCCTCCGCATCGACCACCTCGATGGTGGACAGGGCCTGCCGCTGTTGCGCCTCCGACGGCTGCGCACCCGCGGCTATGGGCGGCGGGCCAAGGCACACCAGCTGAAGCAAGTCAGGAAAAGCAATCATGGGGGGGGCCTGAGAAGGATGGAGGGGGGAGGAAAGGAAAGGCGGAACGTCACGCATCGACAGGTGGGGTCTGTGGTACCTGCCGTCTTGGCCCGCAAACGTCGCGACTGACCGGACCCTGGGGTCGGCTCGCCTTGCCTCACGGAGGAGGAAACGAAGGAGATCCGGACGGTGGCACATGGCAGCCGCACCTGCACACACACACAGAAGGCAATGCAATGAGGCTGCGTTTCAGCAATATCTTCCCTTGCCGCTTACCGACGGCGGATGTGTTGTAGCTGATCTTGCAGTTAGTCGCCTTTGTCTGGCCGGCATAGCCTCGCGCATTCACATCGGCGTTGTACGCCAGCAGCGTCTGCATAACACAGACACATGGAGGCTTCCATTACACGCAGCCAGCACAATAGGCTCATGGAGCACCTTCATGATCTGGATGGGCGCGTTGGCCACGGCCGCCTGCACGACCAGGGGGGACGGCACATAATCTGAACACACAGACAAGATCCGCACCAACGTGCAGTAAGTGTCGGGCCGTCCATACCTCTCTCTGTCTCTGTCTGTCTGTCTGCCTGCCTGTCTGCGGACCTTCGGTGACTAGGTTGAGAGGTTCGTCACGGTACAGGTTCGATGCATCGAGAGCATCCAGGATCAGGTCACTCCACTTGAGCACCTTCCTGTCCCTCTTGGCCCGCACTTCACCCACAGCCAGCCTCTTCTTGTCCTTCTCGGTCGGCTTGATGAGCGTTTCCCTCAGCAGCGCCTCGAGCGACCCGGCCGCACCGTGCACCACACACGCCTGCAGGGCGTGGCGGAAGAGCAGCCCGTCCAGGAAGGAGGGGTCGGGGAAGCATGGAGTCGGCAGCTGGGAGAGGAGCTGGCGGTCCTCCTTGAGATGCACGGCCTTGCGCTGATCTTCTGCCACCAGCTGATCGTGGGCGCACGTCTCCCGCACCGCCCGCAGCATGGCCGTCATCTTCTGGCTGCTCGGGTCCATCCGCATGAGAGTGTCATCCTGCCGTCTCTCCAGCTCCAGGAACAGCTCCTCTGGTATCTCGGGCGTCGCCTCGCGGGAACCACCCTTCTTGGGCCGTGAGTGCCGCTCGTCGGCGCCGCCCCCGTCCTCACCGTCCGACCCATCGTCGTTGTGCATCCGCCCCCGAGCTGTCCCCTTGGTGTCCGCCGACCGAGTTGGCCCGCCGGGCGTGCCGATGGCGCTGCGGAGGTTGGCCGGGAAGAGGAAGGGCGACAAGCTGCCGACGGGGAGAGATGTCTTGCCCTGCTGCTGAGGGAGGCCTCTGTCAGGCTGGGGGAAGAAATGGCACGGCTGCTGCGCCTTCTCCTCATGTGAGTCGCTGAGGTGCAGATCGTCTAGCGGCTTGGAGAAGTAGGGGCTGTGCTCGAGCTGCCCCTTGATGGAGTGCAGGCTGTTGTTCTCCTCCAGCACAGCGAGCCGCTCCCGCATCGCCGTCGTCACATCCATGGCTGGGGAAGGCACACCAGATGGATCGTCTGGCAGCTCCTCACCTTCCCTTCCAGCCAGCCCGCCCCTCTGCCGCATCATCTTGCCCATCAGCTGCCTCTCCGCCTTGTCCAGCCCTGCTCCGTCCCTGCTGCCCGGCAGTGAGCTGGGGCCGTCGCTGTCAGAACCGCGGTCTCCCTCGAGCAGACCAGAACACCAGGCGACCGATGGCCGAGGCGTCGCCGATGAGGACCTGTCCTTGGCTGTCGCGCACTCGACACTGCCGGACGGCTCGTCCTGCAGCTTGGAGGTGAGGATCCCTCTGCTAACGTCAGGGGCGCCCTGCTGGTGCCGAGGGGGAGCGAGGGGCAGCGCGAGCAGCTTGGTTGGCTGGTCGTCACTTGCCGGCGTGGTTGTGGGTCGAGGTGCTGGGGTGGGTGGAGGGGGCCCGGATGACTGGGAGACGGGCGTGCGATTGGGCAACATGCCTTCTTCCTTGAGGAGCTGGTATGCCTTCTTGACGCGCTGCCAGCCACCGGGTCCCAGTGAAGTGAAGCTGCCCACAGACATCCGCCACACACATACATGAGGCATGGCCTGCTGGATGCTCCTTCCTTGTGCATGTCTCTCTCTCTCTCTCTCTCTCTCACCGTGCTACGTATTTCCAGCAGGCCTCCTCGAGCCGCTTTCTGCTCTCCGCATCAGCACCGGCCGACACTATCCGATCCACATGCTGAGTAACACACAGGACAGGCAGACACTCATCCATGTCTGGTTGATTGTTCGTGTGTGCCTACCTCTCCGACGTCAGGCAGGTGTATTCGAATCATGCTCAGTGTGTGACTCTCGTCTGTTGATGTGGTCAGGTTGCAGATGGCCGAGAGGCTCTCCTTCTTGGGACTCAGGTGACCCCTACACACACACACACACACACACACGCACACACACACATCAGATGGTGTGCATGGCAGCTGTTGTATAGTGTGGCCCACTTGCAGGCCTCCTCGAGCTCTGAGTCGCTCATGCCATGGCAGCTGATGGAAGTGGGGATGTCCTCAGACGCACGTCCGGCACCAGCACCAGCATGCTCCTCTGTGGCCTTCTGCACCGACGAGTGGGCTATGGGAGGGGGCGGGGAGGGGGGTGGGGTAAGGGCTGTGGTGATGATGGTCGTCTCAGCGTCCGCCGACACAAAAGACGCGCTGCAGTCGGTGGAGCTGCTGAGGGGGTTCCATCTGACGAAATAGAACCATAGAATCAGTCCCCCTGGTGCGCCCCACTTGCAAGACACCCCGCTAGCGGATCCGTCATAGGACACGTCAGAGGGCAGCAGCCTCTCGGCTGACAGCAGGCCGATGGTCTTGGGGTGACCGCCGTCGACCACTCCGATCATCTCGTCCAGCACCTTCTCTGCGATTGTGAGTAGGTTCACTCTGCGGCTGCCCGTCTCGTCGGGCTGCTCGTCTTCCCACGCCTGCTTCAACGTCGCGACGACCGCCGTCTCGAAGTGCCCCTTCTCCTCTGCGGATACCGATGTCGGTGCGGAGGGGTCGCGGGCCTCACGCCCGTCGGCCAGACACACACAGAGGGGCTGCACGGAGGCACATGCAGAGAAGCCATGACCAAGTGTGTGCGAATGATTTGTGTGCTTCCTTACCCCGTGTACATACGGCGGACACCAGGAAGCGAATGCCTCGAACAGAGTGGCGCTCCGCAGACGCACGCAGAAGAATCGGCGATGGGGCATGCGCTGCTTGAGGCCGACAGCGACCTCCTCCCTCCAGTCGCCACCAGGCCGGGAAAGGGACCCATGCGCCTGATCGGCGACCTCCGACAAGATCCGTGCTGCCTCGTCGGGGTGGATGGGAGGGACGATGTTGCCATGCTCATCGCGAACCAACTGACGATTGTAGTCCTCCTCACTGACGCCCACCGCATTGAGTAGAGTCTTGTGAAGTTGGTAAACAAACACAACGCATCCACCGCCATTCAGCCCACGTGTGTTCGTGTGTGTGGGGAAGTGTGCGTACCTTGACAGGGTCTGTCAGGGTGGGCAGCATCTGCATGTGCATCCCTTCGAGACCGTAATCGCCCCTCCCTCCGCCGAGGATGGCTTGCCCCACACCGGCTGGTGTGCTCGCAGGCGGGGTTGCAGTGTTGGCAGGCAGCTGTGTGTGGTTCTCATGTGAGTGCGTGGGGTGGTGAGGGCCGATGGGCGACGAAAGAGAGCTGCTGGTGGCTGTCATGCCGAGGCCTCCCTTCGCATCCGACGACGCATAGCTCCTACTCTTGGACACACGGCGGCTCCCTCGCACGTTGTCTGCCGGATCATCGCCTCCATCTTGGGTGTTCTTGTCCTCGTACAGGGCCTTCCTGCCGCCAGCCAGGCCTTTCTGCAGGTTCTTGGCGAAGTCACTCATGCCGCCGGCTGGAGCGTGATCATGACCTCATGACAGAGATTGGAAGTCACCAGGCCGATACACGCCGATGATGGTCGATGCCATGGATAATGCGGCAGATCTGCCGAGGCAGCACTTGCCCCTCCGTCGAAAACTACCCTCAATAGGCTGAGCAACCCCTTCGCCATCGGTCCAGTTCCGCGAAACAAACACCGCCCGACCCAATTCATTGCTCCGATGGACTTCTTTCTTGTGTTGCTTGCGCTCTTGGCGTGTTTGGTCACTGGAGGTCAAGCTGGAGGTTCCATCTTTGGCCTCTTCCACCAGCGGCGCCTCCAGAAGGGCAAAGGGACCGTTTGCTCTGCCTCTTCGCCTGGATGGACGTTGTTTGAAGGCAACTGCTATCGCGCCTACGGAGCCCCGCTTCCCTACCTCCTGGCTCGGTCCTACTGCCAAGGCGAAGGGGCCGAGTTGGCATCCATCCACAGCCCCACGGAGAATGAGATCCTCCACGCCCTGTGCCAGCTGAACTCACAACACTATGGGGAATGCTGGTGAGTGTGGGAGAGAGGGCCTCTTGACGGATGGGCATTGTGTGTTAAAGTTTGCTTGGTTACTGTACGTGGTTGTTTCTTTGCCAGGGTAGGTTTGTCTCGGGAGGAGGGGCATGGCGAGTTCACCACCTGGAGCGATGGGACGCCTATCGACTGGACGAACTGGTATGGATGGACATCTCACTTGAAGCACTGGAACAAGCGTGCTTTGTTATGCTTATCTTGCAGGGATTTGACCAACGGAATCGAGCCCAACAATGCGCCTGCGCCAGGAGACTGTGCCAGAATGGTAGATATGCAGTCACAGAATGAGGTCTGAGGCAGAGAGGGACTCGACGTCTGTTTTGTGTTCGATCAGGTCGCTGGCAATGGTGCATGGAGAGACACGCGTTGCTCAGGTGGGAGAGATCCGAGCTGTTCATCTTCCACATTTGTGTCTCCATGTGATGTCTCATTCACTGGTCAGCCCGCAAGTCGTTCCTCTGCGAGATGCCCGCCACCGCCCCATGGGGCCCAGTCGGCAGCAGCTATGCATGGCGTCTCAGCAACATCAGCCCACTGCCCTCGCCCTTCCGCCTGCGGCAGGTCATCCTCTCGGCTGATGACAAGTGCCGAGACGTCATCCCGGTTTCGTCCATCAGGAGCGTCAGCATGAGCGCTGTACTCGAGCAGGTCAACCAGACTGCCCTCCTCACCGCTGTGGCCCCCGATAACCTGAGCCTGGAGGAGAACTGGCTGACATGCGAACCTCTGGACGGCTTCGTCTGCCCCTCTGGCAGCGTCGTGATCGAGTTCGACTTTGGCTCGCCACAGGACGTTCGGTGCGTCTTCGTCGGCTACGAGGATGCCAACCTCGGCCAGCCACGACGATCCCAGGAGGACATTGAGCCAACCGTCTCCTCGTGGTCGATCGAGCAGTGGATTCCCCCTCTCCTCCTCGACACCACCCAGGCCGGCACGGAGACTCCGGCAGCCGCGACTGAGGTTCCTCCTGATGCGACTGAGGCCAGTGCGCCCCTGAACGAGACAGCCAGCCACGCAGAGGCGACGACTGTCAGGCCCCAAGGCACATGGGGTCTCGCGTTGCCTTTCGACGTCACGGCTACCCGTGACGTCCTCCACCGGGCCACAATTCCACGGGCCTTGACGGACTCCTCTGGGCTCGTGTGGACGAGAAAGGCGCACGAGGATACGACCCTGAGAGTTCCTGTGTGGGGCATCGATCCATCGGCATGGAATCGGCCATGCGGACCCGCAGAAGGGCAGGATGGCTTCGTGCTCGGATTGAATGACAGCGACGTGACTGTGCTACCGACCAGGGTGGACAGTGAGAGGAGGCCCAAACCGCTCCTGAGAATCGTTCCGATGATCCGGAGCGACATCCCTCACTCGATCGACGTCTTTACCGGCGCCCCAGGGGCCAGCGAGCAGGGAGAAGAGAGCCAGCAACAAGGGAATGAGATGGACGGATCGGATGAGACGGCACCAACTCCAGAGCCCCTTGGCAAGGGATACACCGAAATTGACGTCAACCGGTGTCAGGGCGAGATGAAGGACATCAGAGTGAGATGCCCCGACGACGATGCCAACTGCTCGGCTCTCAACGGCATCCCTCTCACTCTGGTACAAGGCGCAAAAGAGCCGAGACGGGTGCTCCAAGAGCTGCCACCCGTAGAGGAAGACGATTCCCTCGCCCCTTCTGCCGATGCCTCCGTCGATTGCACTGCACCCCAGTGGTTGGAGACATCTGCCTTTGTTGCGGGCGAGCCCGGAGCCTACGACGTCTGCATCTGCTGGGATAAGTGCGACGATATCAAGCAGTGGGAGCTTATCGGTGACCTTGTGGCGACAGGTACGGGGAGACACACGAGAGAGAGAGTCCATGATCAAAGTCTCGGCGTCACTTGCTCTCAGGTGTATACTCGATGAATGAGTCAACGCTTCTGCCAACGATGGAGGGCGGCGCGCCATTCAGCCTCACCGTCCCCGGCTTTGCCCTGCCGTCACTTGCTCAAGGGCTCGAGTCTAAGCTCTTCATCAGCCCCTTCCCCTTGAGGTCTGACGGCACTCCTGTCATGCCAACCGGAGCCTGTCACCCCCCTCTGCGTGAAGGGGAGCCGGCGGAGGAGCAGCAGAGCAGGCCTCAGGAGGAGGGCGCCCAGCCATCGCTGCACGACTTGTACGAGCATCGCAAAAATGTTGACCAACTGCACCAGAGCTTTACGATCGCACCCATGACACCGGCACCGAACGACTCAGCTGAGGGAGAAGGCGAGCCGAGCGACGCATCATCCGGTGGCTTTATGGATTCGACGTCGAGCCAGCGGCTGGCGATCGAGGTCAAGGGTCTCGCCTGCAAGGAGCTCAACGACTGTCTGCCGCCGCCGTGGGCGCCACTGCCATCACTGCAGGTCAGCCAAGAAGGCACGAGCTACTGCGACACTCGGACTAGATGCCCATTTGCTTCCTTGGTGTGTACAGATGTGGGCCAACCTCTCCGCGTCCCTGTCGCTTGTAACGGTCCAACGACGTCTCCAAGCGCCGGATGAGCCACCAGATGAGTCGCAAGGTGAGTCGCCAAATCAGTCGCCGGACGTCGAGCCCCCAGAAGAAACTTCGTCTGAAGCTTCAGCTGAAGCTCCAGATGAAGCGGCAGATACAGCGCCAGATGAAGCGCAAAACGACGCGACTGACGGTGGAGACATGACCAACACGACTGTTGATGCGACACAGCTGGGAGCTGGGATGAAGGGGGCGGCTTTCGTCGCTCTCATCGACAGTTTCCCTTTCGAGATCTGTCACTGCGCAGAGAACTGCATGAACGTGTCGCAATGGCGAAGCCTCGGCCAGCTCAGCTTCAACTTCTCGGCACAGCTTCGCGACATCCTCTCTCCTACGGAGGCATCGCCGGCAACAGGACAGGCCATACCGACCGAACCGCCAGCAGCTGCCGCTGCACTGCCCTCAGTGGAGTCGCCGGCTGGGCCCAGACCTTTTGCTGAGGGTGAGGCGCCAGCAGGGGACGAGACGCCCGCAGAGAGTTCTGCAGCTGGAGAGGCACCTGCTGGCGACTCCACATCTGAGGAAGGCCCTGCCGGCGATTCAGAGTTGCCAGCGGCCGACTCTGCAGCTGAGGAGGCACCTGCTGGGGATGAATCCCAAGTGGCAGAGGACAGACAGCCTGCTGGCAGTTCCGAGCTGACTGAGGGCGGCTCCGGCCCTGAGCAGCAAGCCGCACAAGCCATGGAAGAAAACCCCGGTAGGCAGATGGCCTTCCCATCCATCCAGCGAACGGACACCTGTTTGTTGTTCTTGTTCTGTGTTGCTGTTGTTTTGTCAGCCCTCGGTCGGGCGCCTAACTTCGCCTCCGAGCCTCTGGATGGGAACGATGCGGGATCAGGCGACGATGAGACGGATCTGCCAAAACAGAAGAAGGGGTCCAAGGCATGGGGGGCTTTTGGTTTCACTGGTAGGATCAGCGGATGGCCGAGAGACACGAGACACGAGACATCTCATCCCCTCTCTGTGCGCCGCAGCTATCTTTTTGCTGGGGCTTCTCTTTTTGTTGTCGTGCGCCTGGGTGTGTGTGCGGAGGATATGGTCAGCCGCATACACACACGCAGGGAAGAGCGCAACGCAGACGCCCGTGTCTCTGTGTGTGTGTGTGCGTGTGTGTGTGTTCTCTCACTGACAGGAAGAACAGTCGTCCCCGTTTGTTCAGCTACTGTCTGATCCCCAAAGAGGAGGGATACCAGTCTTCATCGTCCACTGGAGAAAAGGACCGCGAGTTGCTGCCCAGGTATCAGCCCATGGCCACCGCCCTGCCGCCTCGTCAGCCCTACTCCAGCTCATTCAGCTACATCTGATGGCATGCAGTTTTGTTGGTAATCTATGCGCTACCCTTTGCTTCCTGGCGTGTGTGTGTGTGTGTGTATGCTGTGTGTCGATGAGTAACGGTGGATTTATAAGTGTGTCGGGTGATCGATGCCATGCGGACAGGGGGCTCTCCTGGTCTTTTTGACGTGTGAAAGCGATTGTTTTGCAGAGTCAAAGTACCGGCCTCAAAGTTCTCGTGTGCATGGAGACGCACGTAGTTTCAACTCATGTACACCGCCATTTCTGGAGTGCAGACTTGATAGATCGACCCAGATGAAAGTTCTTCACTCTGTTCCACGCCCACATACAGCCCGGCATCGAGTAGCGAATACAGGAAAGAACACAGACATCGTGATATAAAATGTAGGCAGCAATGTTGTGTGTCGCACTTGCGGGGGGCTGTCTGCAGGCTGCCTCTCCAGCAGCATGGCCGCCTCCATTTTATATCCCGACGTTTGTGTGAATGCATTCAATCGATGCGTCGTGCGGCCAAATGACAGCACGTGGGACTCAATGACATGTCACACAAGCCCCCAGATAGCGGGCTGATCCATGAATCAGATGCCTGCAAACTGCACACACCCATCACATAAAGTATTGCCTTGCATTTCCTTCCCCCTTCCTGCCCCTTTTGCCCTTTTTCTCCCTTCTGCGCGATCCGATTTGCGAGCTTGAAGCGCAGATCTGCCTCCTCTCTCCATTCAAGGAGAAACATCAGCGCCTATCTGCCCTGAGAGCGAAGCGCAGCTTTTTCGAGATTTGACCAGGAGGAATACGTGCGTTGATGAAAGGGGACGACCAGACACCTGATCTACGAGTCCAACACAAAGGCGACAACTTACACAAAGCACAGCGCGGGACGTGGTAATGGGACGCCTGTCCGTCTTGGTGCTGATCCTCTTTGGTCATGTTGTCGTTCTTCCCCTGGCTGAGGTCTGCTGCTGTGCGTATGTGCACCCGCCGGCCATCCGCCTCTCCCGCACCACACCAAGCCGCCCCAGCCGTCGTGCCAACCACATCGTTGCGATGAGATCCGATCAAGTCGGTGAGGTCAAGCGAGATGAGATGTCGGTGTACGGCAGTGTGTGTGTGTGTGTGTGAAGGTCGATGTGTACAGGGAGATAGCTGAGGTGGACCGGCAGCTGGATGCACTCGCGAAGGACATGGGCTTCATGACCAAGCTCAACACGCGCAACGCCCTCTTTGAACGGCGGCAGCAGCTCGTCAAGCAGACAGAAGGCACGCAGGCTCGCACACACACACGGCTCTCTCTCTCTCTGTGCATATGTGTGTGTTCGTGTGTGTGTGTGTGTGTGTGTGCAGAGCCTCTGAAGAAATGGGGTGTCAGAGTCTTGTTAGCCGCTGTAACGGTGATGTCAGGTGTTGTCGGAGCGGTCCTGGTGGGGCTTTTCCTGCTGGCTGTCATAAGGCTGCCGCCCTTATTCTAACTAATTCCTTGTGTGCGCCACACGGGGGGTGGCAGTGGTCCTGTAGTGGAGGGCGAATCGTCTGTATGTCTACCTACAGTGTGCCGTTTTCCGTCCAACGATTTGTTTGTTTAGTTACTGTGCGGGTTCATACTCACATAGATGTGTGCGCGTTAAGATGACTTACTTGTACGTACGATATTAAGGTCAGTCAAACAGAAGACGAGAGGATTGAGCGAAAGTCGCACACACATGACGATCTGATCTCGCACCATCCCCGCCGGTCACACACACACACCACTGAATGCAGGTCATGTCCAAGATGCACATGCACACGCACATCGCCTCGCCACCACATGTCACACACCGATCCCTCCATCTACCAACACCTCAACCCACCCACCCACGCACTCTTCTTGCCGTCAAAGAGGAAGCGCCACTCAGCTGCTCACAGACGGAGAGTTGCGTCCGACCGCAATGGGGAGATACCGCGGGCTGTTCGCGACAGCAGCAGTGGCGACTGCTCGTCTGTCTGACGGCCACGGCAAAACACGAGAGGAGACCGACGCTCCCCCTCAATTCCCTTTCCACACACTTGTCTTCTCGTCCGCAATCGGGCTGCGGGGGCCCCTTTGTGTCTTTCCATCCTTTGGCTGAGTTCCCTAACGTCTACTGCCAGCAGCCATACACGCATACATCTGTCCACCCGGCCATCAGTTCCCAAAGTTGAGATTCCCGGACCAAGAACAAAAGGCGCAGCCTGCAACCGCAACAGAATGACATTGCAGGTGGGCGCGTGTGTGGCTGCGACATCGCTTCGTCGTGATCATACATTCTGGGTCGCCACCCCGATGCCCTTCTCCCCAAGGAGATCTTGCACAGCCATCCGTGAGGTGCCCCAACAAGTTACTGCGACAAACAGAAACGGATACAGGAAAGAACACAGACATCGTGATATAAAATGTAGGCAGCAATGCTGCTGTGTCGGCGGGCTGTGGCAGAGTGGTGGGCGAGGCGACGATAGCGGCTTCAGTGGCGCTTGGCAGGGGCGGGAGGGGGACGAAGTCGAGCTTCGTCACGGCCTGGTTGCCGTACTTGGGCATCCATCTGGTGTCAATCTGCTCGACGGCCTGAGTGAATGAAATCGACAGAGACACAGACAACCCCGGTGCGTGCCCTTCCGGAACCAACACCAGCAGCAGCGGTGAGTTACACCTGGCGTGGTGTGTGTGTGGGGTGAGGTGTGTATCTCCTGACCTTGCCGGCCAGGTCAGGGTGCCGTTGGGCGATCAGCGAGTTGAGTTCCTCGCGAAGGATGACCCTCTGGTGGTCAACCAGCGACGCTCCGCGGCCGCCAGTCCCCTCACCGGCAGCAGGCTCATCGTCGACCTGCACACACACCATCCACATACGCAGAGCGAACGATCCGTGCTCGTCTCAGCACACACATACAGAGATGTGATGTGCACTGGACACTGGTATGCAGTCAGTGTCTGGGTGAGATGTCGATCTGTCGAGATCTGTCTGTGTTGTGTCTTGTCTATATCGGCCGGCACGGAGCGGAGAAACATACCTTGTCTTTGAACGACATGAGGAAGTTGATGGAGTAGAAGCGGGGGCCACCCCCACTCGCCGTGCTTTCGAGTACGGTCGGCGCACTGCAGTCAGAACAGCAAACACAACAAAACACAATACAACCACAACACACACACCAACGTGTATGTGAATTCCTCACATGGCGTCGAAGATGTCGTCCGGGCTCATGAAATCGATGGAGTAGAACTGGGGGCCTCGGGCGAGATGCCTCGGGCGGCGCACTGCAGTCAGAACAGCAAACACAACACAATACAAACACAACACACGAACGACCATGTGTGAGCATTCCTTCCCCTAAGTCTGCGACCTTTGGACTGACTGATGGTTCTGTACCGGCGAAGAACTTGATGATATCTTGTATCATTTCGTCCGTGAGATCGGTGCCGCTATTCAGGCGCTTGAACGCCTCACCTTTCTCCTTCATGCTCATGTTGGCGGCCGTTTTGATCTGGTAGATCTCCCGCCGCCGCTGCTGCTCCTTTTCCGCGGCCGCCTCCTCCCTCTTGGCCTGCAGTTCATCTGCAGAGCACAACACACACGACAGAGAGCCCATGGATGAACACGTGCGTCAGCCACCCACCAAGCCACCCACCCACCTCACCCTGCTTCATCTTCCTCCAGCCGGACTTGCTCAGGACCCGTCGGCTCGGCTGACTGCTCTGTTTGCTGGCGAGGAACGGGCTGGGCGCCGGGGGGGCGACGCCCTTCTTGGTGCCGGCTTTCTGGGGAGGGAGCCGAGACATCGACATCAATCGCAACGCCACCAAAACGTATGAATCGCCACAAATGCTACTGCAACCACGTACACAGCCAGGGATGCACCCACAGAAGACATTTATGGATGGGATCTCGGTGATCTTGGGGCATTCGGGCGGCTTCTGTGTCCTAAGCGCACTCGTGAGGCGTGCACTCTTACCGGCGACGATTTGTTGCTTCAGAAAGGTCGACCGATTCATCTCGCAGGCAGGCCATCGAGGTGCGTTCCCACTGCCATCGCTCCCTCTCCACTCTGCATATATGCATCACAACCAGAGACACCACATGGTTATTGTGCCCTTAGTGTTTTGTGTGCATCTTCTCACACATATCGGGGCCTTGCTCGGTCACCCAGTCCATCCATCCATTTGAGCACGTGTTGACGAATATAAAATGTAGACAGCAATCTGCTGCAGACAAGGAAGGTTGCTCGCCGTGAACATGTGTGCACGACCGGCCCCGCCACCAGACGATATGGCACCGCCCGCAGCGCCCGTCGGCTGGCCCTTCCGGGTCGGAGGCGCCTTGAGCTGCTGGCTTTTGAACGGTGAGAGGTGCTCCGACCCTGCGAACAACGCACACACGATGAAGAAACACAGGCATGACACACGGATGGATGGATGGATGGACTGACTGATGGTTCTGTACCGACGAAGAACTTGATGATACCTTGTATCATTTCGTCGGTAAGATGGGTGCCGCTATTGAGACGCTTGAACGCCTCGCCCTTTTCCTTCATGCTCATGTTGGCGGCCGTCTTGATCTGGTCGATCTCCAGCCACCTCTCACCCTTCTCCTGCAGGTCCACTGACGCCTCCGTGATCCTGTCTATCTCCGCCCACTGTTGTGCCGCCTTCCTCTCGGCCTCCTCTTCGCGGGCAGCCCGCGCCTTGGCTACAGAGCAGACAGAGAACAGCCGCCGATGGCCACATGAATGGTCACGCAAGCCGCCCACCCCACCCGCCTCACCCTGGGACTGCTTTCTTTTCTGCGCGTTGCTCATGTGCCGCCGTGCCGGGTCCTTCTGCAGCCGGGCGGCGAGGACTTTGAGAGGCGCAGAGGACCGCGACATTACGAAAACTCCACCCAAAAGCTACTGAACCTCCGAAATGCTACCTGCAACCACATGTACAGCCAGGGATGCACCCACAGAAGAGATGTATGGATGGGATCTCGGTGATCTCGGGGCATTCGGCCGCTTCCGTGCGCACATGTGTCGAAAGCGTGTCTTGAGCCGTGCATTCTCACCGGCGATGCTGTTGTTGCGCAGGAAGGTCGGCCCTGCACTTCAGAGAGCCGGTAGTGGCAGGTTTTTCTCACCGCACGAGAGGAAAAAACGATGGGAATGATAACACTCCGAATAAGACGCGTTCCCGCCGCAATTCTCGCCGTCTCGGGTTGTCGAGATTAGGGTTTCAGCTCGCATTTTCTCTCGCAGCACACAGATCCGCATCAGCTGTTGACTCAGAAAGATTTCGGCTAGTTCGTCCGAGTCGGTCCGATCATCGCCTCGCGATGTTTTCTGCGGATGCCGACTGAAAATGGCATTGCCCAGCAACGGTGAGGGCATTGCCATTGTGAGAGAGGCCATGGCATGTGTGAAAAGGGCCTTTCGTGCCGTGAATGTGTTGACTGCAGGAGTGAGGCGGACGGCACACAGACAGGGAGATCGACGGCTCACTGACATACGCACATGCGGTGCACACAGCCGCACAGACAGCCACCTTACTCATTCCCTCTCTGTCTGTCTGTCAGGACCTCAGTTTGACCATCGATGAGCAGACCAGACTGCTGGTACTCGACTACCTGCGAGACGCCCACACCTACACCTACACTGACAGCATCGCCCAGCACCTCTTGTCATTGACGAGCGACCGGGAGACTCTCATCAGGTCCGCCGACCACCCAAGAGCAATGTTTCCCATCCATCCACACAAGCTATCGATGACTCGCGTGTGTGTCAGGAGTTACCCCACGGGCGTCAGCGACAGTGATGCTGCAGCGGAGATAAGGTTGGATGGGGTAAGTCCGACAGAGGATGTCGCGTTTGTGACCGTGTTGCTGCTTTCGGGTCTTGTCAGTTGGTCGAGGCGTGTCGACAAATGGACAATACTGTGGACAGAATGAGCAACCATCAATGAGACGGGCAAAAACCGATGAACACGGACCCTGTTATGTTATGCTGTTCATCGGTGGGATGGCCTCAGGGACCAAATGCAGTCACTCGCGTGTGGCGTGTCTGAGATCCAGGGCGGCCTCGTCAGCCTCTCTGTCGACCTCTTGTAATGCCATCAGCGACGCTTACACGGCCATTCGCCAAGATGACTCCAGTCGCCGCGATCCACACACCTGCCCCGCGGCGACAGCAGCTGATAGAGGAGAGAGCATCGATGGGTCGTTTCCGCAGCTGTACCGGTCATGCTCATGGTCGGCCGCGGGCAGCCAGAGAGACTCTTGCTGCGGGCAGGCGACTCTCGCCATCTCGCTGAGCTCCGACTCACCCAAGCTGGGTCAGCAGAGCAGATCGGGGAGCCATTCAGACACTCATGGATCTTTCCGTGTATGTGTGTGCCTTGATGCACTTTTTTCAGAGTGTGGGAGTCAGAATGGCCCCCGTTGACCAAGTCGACGACATGCGACGCCCCGTGGCACTTCGTGGGCTTCGGTGCCGCCCCGCCCCCTCCCCGGCTGGTGTCCGACAGCTTACTGCCGCGCCACTCTGTCAGCTCTTTCCCATGGCACACACGCCCAGCCACGGGCATTATGTGTGAGAGGTGTCCATCCGCGACGGTGGCTGTTGAGACCCGCCGCTCAGGAATTGGTAAATTTTTTGAGTGTGTCTGCCTGCCTGCTGGTGGCCCTCCTGGCGTGCGCTTGTGTAGAGGATTGTTGTGGAGATGAAGAGGGGAGGGTGCATGCTTCAGAGTATCCATGGTTACGATGGACGGACGAAATAGTGTGAGCGTTAAACCCACTCTGGTCTCGGGCTGACGCTTTCTCTGCTTTCCTCCCTCCCTCACATGACCCCGTCGAGCCCTCCACAATGCTGGTGGTGATGCTCGACGCCGCCCTCCCGAAGCGGGGCGCCACGGCGGCCTCGGCGGACAAAGATGACGTCCCCATGAGCGAGGAGGAGAGGACCAAGCAGAAGGAACACCTCAGGAACGTATTCCAGAAGACCAAAATGTAAGCAGACACACGCACACGTCACCGGCAACAGGCAGACGAAGGAGCAGCCAACGCCTCCCTCTCTGCGCGTGGTTGTTTGTGTGTTCGTGTGTGTTTTGCAGGTGTCCGTGGCTGGCCGGTGACCGTTGTGTGCGTGCGGACCGGTGCAACTTCGCTCACAGTGAGAGCGAGCTGCGGCCCAGGCCTGACTATCAGGTCAAACAGTCAGACAGTCAGTCAGTCAGCCGGCAACGCAGTAGGCCTGATTGTCTGTGTCTGTGTGGCGTGTTGCTGCTGCTGTCAGGACATCGAGGTTGACCCGCGCTACTGGAAGCACAACAAGAAGCAGAAGAAAAACATACGACGAAACAAAGGTCAGCCTGCCTGCCGGTCAGCGAAGATGATCCCCCCTCATTGTTTTTGTTGCGGTGCGTTGTGGCTCAGCGCTGGCGTATTCGATGGCGCCGCTGTTGGCGCACAGCAGCTACAGCAGCCACAGCAGCAGCAGCACGAGCCCGAGCGAGAGCCACCTGTCCCCCTCCCACACCCACAACTACACCCGTCCCCCCCTCTCCCCCCTCACAGACACCGCAACGACCACCACCACCACCACCACCACCACCACGCCACCGCTCTCCATTGCCAACAGCAATGGCCACCCCGACGCACACCGCCGCGATATGGCCATGACGCCCCCGCCAAACATCGAGGCCAGCACCACCCAGATGCAGATGCCCCCCTCATACCATCTCCAGCACCACCACCAGCAGCGCGCGCATGGCGATTGGGGCGAGGGCAGTGCGGTCGCGCCGGCTACTGTGAGTGCGGACGAGCCTGTGGTGGCAACGCGGGTGCAGTCGCCGTGCCAGATGGTGATGGGGAGTGGAATGGCGGCGCCCATGGCGTACCTGCCTTATATGAGGCTCTCGCCACTCGCCATCCTGTCTGCACACGCATTCATCTCGGAACAAGGTACGGGCCCTCGCACCGCACACAGCGAGACTGCCACACACAAATCCATCGATACACATGGCCCGCCTTGTTGTCTGTTGTGCCTGCCTGTGTGCAGAGCTTGTTTTGGCTCAGCCCAGCCAATATGAGGAGTAGGGAGGGAGGGGCACCACAACACGGACAGATAGGGAGGATTTGTACTTGGCTGCAAGGATGGATGGATGAATTGCTGGCTGGGGGCTGGGAACGGTGATACGGTATAAAGGAACGCTGGTTTGGTCTGGTCTGGTCTGGTGTTTTGGCACCCTGTCTGTCGATCAATCAATGAATGGTGCACACGGGGGGGAACATGGGCAGATCCACACGTACGTACTCACACACACACACGCTCACAGACGCGCACTCATTCTACTCACTGCTTACAGAGCAAGACAGCACCGCATCGATCCGATGGCTCACGCGATAGCGTGTGTTGGTGCATACTCACAGCCCACCACACTACCCCATCCCCACAGCGCACGCACTTTCTGCCTTCTGGCTCGGTCGCCTTTTTTCGCCTGTCGTCCGATGTTGTGTTTTCATTCGTACGCCCGCATTCAAGAGCTGTCCCATAGGATATATTCCGACCTCCGTAGTACCTACTTCGGTAGTCTAATGACTCTATATCGTATCTACTTCACCGTGTGTGTGTTGTGGAAGGGTGGGTGTCCTTCCCAGACAGATCGTCTACACCGATGTATACGTACGTGACGTCTATATGTATGTATGTGTACGTGTGTGTACGTGTGTGTAGTCTGTATACGTGTGTGTGAGTGTGTGTGTGTGTGTGTACGCATGATACGAAAGAGTGCCACCTCTATATCATGACATGCACATCCTCCCCCTCCCTCACTCTGTCACTCTCTCACTGCATGAATTATGCAACGACGTAATTGGATGAACGGGTGAAATCAATGGGTTGTTCGTGCGTCCCTGAGTCTGCCTACCTAGTCTCATGATGCTGTCTGTCCACCTGTCTGCCTATATCGTCTGTATCCGCAAAGAAACATCAGATTCGTACCAATGGGGCCCTGATCGGCAGAGAGGGAGGGAGGGAGGGATGCATCGATGGCCCACTCTTTCACACCCGCACCTGTCTTTTTTCGTTTGTTTATTTCACACCTGTTTCACAGACACAACACGGACGCGTCCTCACCTCTTTCCCTTCGTTCGACTGACATATTTGTAGCAATCTGTCCACACACACACACACACACATATACGCCACACCCGCCCACACGAAGAAGGGCACATACATCGCATTAGCCTTTCTGTCTGTCTGTCTGCCTGTCTGTCTGTCTGTCTGCCTTTCGTTCTGAGGGAGGCTTGGGAGGGCCCCGGCTCGCTTACAATTCAGTCGCTGTGCCATGCCCTCACTCGCGCACTTACAGCTCTACACATACACGATGGATGGACGGACGGATTCCCTGAATTTTCGCGCGAGCTTGCTCCTTCCCTCTTTCTTTCCTTCCCTGCCTTCCTGCCTGTTTGGACGTCTGGCTGGCCGGCTGGCTGGCTGGCTGGCTGGCTGAGTGTCGATTCCCCTGTGTTTTTTGAGTGGCAGCCGCGCCAACCTTTGGAGCGGCCATGCCCTTACAAAGATAACGAGCCCCCGCTGCTGCCTGCATGCCCTTGGTGCGTGACTGATTGCAAATGACTTCGTGGCTCATTGCATGCAATTCATGGCTCAATGGATGAGGGTAATGCCTCGAGTACATGGTTGGATGGATGGATGGAGCGATCGTGTGTGAAGATGGGATGGTTGCGACGATTGTTGTAGTTTTTGACATCTGCGAACGCCCCTGCCTGACTGCAGCAGCCAGCTTGACGGCTGGCTGCCTGTGTGGATATGAGGGATACGTCATTTTGCCGTAGCGTGCGCGAGAGTGCAAGAGGGCCCGTTTGGCTACTGACGCGCAGTGCATACCATACACACTGCTGACGTGACGTACGTGGCGCTTGATGTGGACTATCGCTTCGATGCATTGATGAATGCACTGTGTGCGTTGTGTGTCCGTGCCTTGGTCAGAAGACGCCGGCGGCTATCTGAAGGAGAGGGGGAGACAGTAGCGAACGGGCGGCCGATATGTTTTCTTACCTCTTCTGTGTTGATGTAATGTCCTATGAATGCGGGAGGGGGGGCGGAGAGTGGGGTGCATTCTCGCTTGACTCGACTGATTGACCGCTTGTGGGAAGGGAAGCCTCAAAGAATGGAGGCTTGCCCACTGGAGATGGAAAGATGGATAGACAGGCTGGCGGTTGATGGATGGATGGATGGACGGGGGAGCAGTATTGCAACATACTTGTTGGATTGTCGAGTTCCTAGCACACCAGTACAGTCATACCTGACCATACACAGCCAGCGGTGTCAAGTGCGTGGACGTATTTGCCTGTGCTCTTCCCTCCTTTCTGTGTTTCTTTCTCCCTCTGTGCGTGTGTTTGGGTGTTTGTGTGCGTCATATGGCAGAAAGGAACCAACTTTATCTGTGTATCGTGACTTGCCGTGGTGTCGTGCGGTGGCCGTGTGTGGGCGTCTGTGCTTGTTGTTTGCATGGCTGGTGCATGTACGCTCGTAGGTGTCTGTGATGTGCTTTGTCTTTAGTCAGCTCATTCACGCAAATGACCGACCGACCGACCGACCGTGAATGCTTCTTACCTCCCTTGATGGATGCCTGAGTCCATGTATGGATCCCTAGTGTGTCTCCCCCTTCCCGCGGCGTGCTGTTTTTGCCCACCCGCCCCCCGGCCACAGCGCCCCTATCTCAACACGTATACATATAAATATGGAAATAGGTTCATGTATGTGTGTACGTAATTACGTATGCGTCTGTGCAGCCGACCCTTTTTTGACACATGCCGCGAGAAGCCACTGACCATGCGACCGGCAGGGCACTTTTTGACGGCGGCCCCTCCTGTCTGCGTCGTGTATTCCCCTCCGTATATAGTGAATGCATGTTTATGTGCATGTGTGTATAGGTGCGTGAGGATTTTGTTTTGCATTCGTACGTGCGTAGGTCATATAAGATCCGTTCGTATGCAGACACACCTCCCGTCTGTATTTGTCCTCTCTCGAGCTCCCCTCTATCCATTCCCTCGTGTAGTGCCCCTTCCTCACCTCTTTCCCCACTCGACCCTTCTCCCCTTGCGCGTCGATGAGACATTGATATATATGTATTTTTCCGTGCTTCGGGGGAGGGATTTGGCATTGTTCTGCATTGTTCACCTGCCACCGAGCTCCCGTGCGGACAAGTGTATTACATATGACGACACAACCGTCATCGATCCAGACATCAGACGTATATGCGTGTCTTTTACGTCTCTCTAATCTGGTGCTTTTTACTTTTTCCGCTACGTGTGGTGAATATTTGTTGCTGTCGTACATAATCGGAGATATGTACGAGCAATGACTGCAGCTGGGCGACACGCATTCATACTTCATTCATGCGCTCACTGGCTGGCTGCGTACGGAGGAGTTTTTCTCGTTTGCAGGACGACGCAGATGACAGGCATGGCATGGAGTGAGACACACACGTCTAACGGATCGACCGGTGCGACAGGCACGATTGCGTACATAGACACGACGATCGAGCAAATGTGAGAATCAACAGTCGAGCAATTCAATCAGCACCCATCCATCCATCAACGACAGGCGTGAGAGACACAGCAGCAGTGAGTGAGTGTCGACACATGATGGATGGCCATGGCTCATCATCTCTGGCCCTCGAGGACTGTGGCCTGTCGTCGAGCGGCTTCATCCCTCTCTGGTGTGACATCTGCATCCACACCAAACAGCACGTCACCCGAGCAAGATTCCCCTGGTGCGTTGGGGGGGACACGCACTCTCTCACTCGAGACACATACATGTGTGATGTGTGACGGTGTGTTTTTGTTTGTTTGTTGCAGGTCGTGTTCGTGCTGCATGTGTGAGTCGTGCTACAGCCAGTGCACAGCGGCCGCCAACAATGGGACACACACGTGCACCAAATGCGGTCGGTGGACACACAGGCAGACGGACATACAGCAATTTCACCCTTGGCATGTCTCTCTCTATGTGTATGTGTATGTGTCACAACAGGTGCGCGTCAGAGTGTGCGTGAGGGTGTGATTGACCTGTCTAACCCCAAATCCGTGCCCTCCTCTGCTTTGCCCTTCCTGCGACCCTTCCAGACTGTGTTCGAAGAGACATGCACTCAGGCATTCGAAGCCTACAAGTTCCAGGCACGACACACACAACACACAGATGGACTCACAGATATCGATGTGTGTGTCGTCATCGTGTGTGCAGCGTGAGAAGCAAGAGGCCGTGATGCATGTCTTGCTGTCCGAGCGGAAAGCAATGCAACAGCACATCAACGAAATGACCGCCGCACACAAAATGTGCACCGTGGTGGATGATGCCAGGGTGGGTATGGACATGGATGGGCGGAGTGCTGTCTGCTGAGTCAGACCTTTTGATTGCATGGGGATGCAGTGACTCCATGAGGAATGAATGATTCACTTATCGACCGTCACACATGCGACAGAAATGTCATCAGCAAACGAGGCGTGTGTGTCTGTGTGCGTATCTATCGTGCAGTGCGATCAAGTGTCCATTCATTCACCCGAAAAAGGCACACATAACGAGCAGTGATCATGGAAAGTGGACCCCAACAGACTGCACACACGTACACCATAAACTGCAGCAGAAGACCAACGAACTGCACAACACCAAGGCAACCATGACACACACACACAGACACACAGCGACTGACCGTCCACACTCTGTGTGTCTGTGTCATTCTGTCAGGCTGAGTTGGCTGAGTTGCGATCGTCCCTCCATCGACTACAGCAGCAGCAGCAGCAGCAGCAGCACCCGTATCCCCACCAGGCCCAGCCCACAATGACCTCCACTCGAATCATCCAACGAATACCCAATCCATTCAACAACAGACAAGTGAACCAGACAGCCAACACACACTCACTGATGCATCTCTCTTTCTGTGTGTGTGTGCAGGTGCCTCTTGTCGAGCCGCCCACTCCTCTCCAGACACACAACCAGCACGTATGCGAGGGGAATCGATACATGGACGCGACCAATGTGTGTGTGCTGTGTTGTGTGTCAGTCGCATGTGTCGCACAATCTTTCTACACAGCAAATGACCGTCAACACACACAGACACGTTATCCACATCCACATGCACCCATCTCTGTCTGTCTGTGTGTCTGTTAGTATCTGAAGGCGGACATGGCGAGCCGTCGATCCTTCGGCAACACGTACGACAAACAAAACACAACAACGACTCACATGTGTGTGCACTCATGTGTGCAGGTCGTCTTCTCGTCCCGCTCATCGTGAGTTCGACCTGCCCACTCAGAACATGCCCACGCGGACAAACATCACAAACACACAGGTCAACCGACCAGACAACCACAACCTCCACACACACACGAACGATCTCCTTGTCTGTGTGTGATTGTGCTGTCACTCAGATGTCATTCGTGCCCCCTACTCAGCACCTGAACCACACAACCAGCACCCGACAGGCCTTCAACAACAACCCGGCCGCCATGATGCAGCGACGACCATTCAGCAACACCAACAGACGATGAATGAGCGATGACTGAGTGAGGGACAGACGACCAGATGAGGGGAATGGACGGGGGAAGGGGCAAGGAGGGATGTGTCATCCTGTGCATGCGTGACAGACAGACAGACAGACAGACAGAGGAGGGAGGCGAAGGTGGGATGAAAGAACGACTCGACAGTAATACGTGCGTGCGGACAATGAATGAAACGAATGAATGCGTCTTCATGCCTTAAGCTTGGGGACAGTTGGATTTACATGATGGCCAGGCTTTGACTCGCGGTCAAGCTGATGAATCTCCACGAGTATTTGACGAAGCAGAACGCCCAGTGGCTCAGCGAGAGCAAACAGGGTCCAAACGCCGCTCAGATCAGATACAGCAAGGCGGTCCTCCACCAGCCCGCCACTCTCGCACTCCTCTTCCCGCCCGACCTGCACGATGACGCCCCGCCGAGCTTCGCCCTCCGCTCCCTCGCTGACAAGAACCGCCGCCGCCTCATCACACGCACACTCGAGGAGAATGTGGCGCTGGCTTCCCTCCACAGGAGTCAGCTGCGGGTGGCCATCTACATCATGATGGCGATGGAACTGCACGAATCAAGCGAAGAGGTAAGTCTGGAGAAAGGGGAGTGGCATAGCTGAATGCATGAATGAATGGGTGGATCTTTCATTTGTGCTGTCTTTGCTGCAGTTGGTGTCTACGTTCAGTGACCGGCTGGAGTCGACGTATCTGCAGGCGGGCGAGAGCGACGAGTACCTCAAAGACGTCATCGCAGCACTGCTCAACTTCGTGTGAGTCATCCAACAGCCACGCACGACAGCCACTCCTCATGGGTCATCTTCTTTTGCACAGTCAGGTGGCCTTCACCGATTCGTGTTCATCCTCTGAGGCCATCACGTTCGTCAACTCGTTCGCCAACGCACTCATCGAGGCCGACGCACAGACCCTGTTCGTGCCTGTGGTCGAGAAGGCCACCATGGCCCTCTGCCACCAGGCCGACGGGGGCGGTGAGGGGGGCGAGGGGATGTCATCTCGCGATTTGGTTGTGGATGCGCTGGTGCTGTGCTCACTCAAACACAAGGCCATCATGGACAGGTGGGATGGTGACGACATGGGCAGGCGGATGTGCGATTCGTTTGTGTCCTCTCTCAGGCTGTTTCGCACTTTGACGAATGTTCTCAAGCTCGTGCCGGCAGATGACGTGAGGGCCTCTGCAGCCAAAATACTCACCAGGTAGGTCGGGCAGGCACACAACACGCTGACCATCCATCAGGCCAGTCTGTATCCTGTTCTCTCCGTCAGGTTGCTGTGGAATCTGACCAACGAGACGGTTGTGTCGGTGACTGACGCCGGTCAGCGGGACGAGGCGGTGCGTGTGGCCCTCCCGCTGCTGTTCGACCTGCTGTCGGTGGAGGCAGTGGCCGACACTCGTGTGGAGGTAATACGTGCACTCGAATCCCACTACAAGGCCACGGTGAGATGAAACGGGGCAATTGTCGGCCGATACAGAGGGAGACGATCCATGTTGTCCATTTGGTCATTGCAGGCTGAGCAGCCGCCCAGCGATGAGCACAGCAAGGCATACCAGCGGGTGACAAACCAGTCGAAAGCAGCGCCCGTCTTGCCGTCCCCCTCATCAATGTGCGCTGTCCCTTCTATGTGTGTCAGCAAGTGACGATCCGTGTCAGCAAGTCGTGTGAGCTTGACCCCCACAAGCACGTCCGGCTGGCGGCAGTCAAGGCACTCACTACCATCCTCATGCTCCTCTCGCGAGAGGTGAGAGGGAGAGACCAATTAGAGAGGGGACACACTAGCAAATGGGCCTCCATCTGTCGCTCTCTGTGTGTCAGGAGTATTCCACTGCCCGTGCTGCTGCTGTGTTGCAAATGATCATCTCTCGTCTGTATGATAAGGACGGCTCCGTGCGCAAGGAGGCGGCCAAGCTACTCACACTCGAACTCACCTCCACCAAAGCCATGTGTGTGACACAGACCAGCGCACACATGCAGCCATCACTTCTTGTCTCTCCACCTGTGCAGGAGTGATCTGGTGAGCAACAACCAGGCCGTGGCCCGCGAGTATGCCCACGCGCTGGGGATGATGGACTCCGACCCGCTCCCCGCCATGCGCAAGGCGGTACGCACTGCTCAATGAAAGACAGGGCCTCAACAGACACACAGGTCTCTCTCTATCTGTGTCTCTATCGTGTGCAGCGTGACAAGCTGATGGTGGGTTATCTGCTCGGCAGCCACGATGACGGGTCTATCAAGGGTGACAGTGAGGTGCTGGAGGTGTGCCGCCGCATGCAGCAGCTCGGCCAAGTGCCGCCTGATGTGCTGACGACTGTGAGCTGTGCACTCTTTGGCAGCCGCGAGGGAGACGGGGAGCAGGCGGGCGACAACGATGAGGGGGAAAATGGGATGGATTTGGACGATGCGTGAATGACTGTGCATGCCAAGTGGCAGTATCGCCAGCGCAGATCGCACCAGAGAAGACAGACAGACAGACAGACAGACAGAGGAGGGAGGCGGACGTGGGAAAAGCTCGACAGCCGTACGTGCGTGCGGACAATGTATGAATGAACGCGTCTTCATGTCTCCGTGGAGATATGAATGGAGTCAGTGCATTCATGTAAGAGACACATGAACATGTATCGATCACATGCATGGGTCCGTCAACACGCAAGTAATCTGTCCGCTCAACGATGGAGGACATGAAGCTAGAGGGAGGTACTGGTGGGTAAGTAAGTAGATAGCTAGATCCCTAAGCTGAATGAACGAATCTAGACGTGCTGGACAGCCTGGACTGCACTCTCGGCGAAGCCTCCTGTCAAAAGCCAGGAGCAGGAATGAGCAGGGGGCTAGCCGGTGGCAGCCCGTCTCCCTCCCTCCCTATCTGCCTGCCTTGCTAAGGGCGGCCGAAAGAAGGCAGTACACTGCCTGCGATCACCGCCAAAAACCGACCAACAACGCTTAAGCAGCACATTGATCCATACATCGACATCTACATCCCCCCATCCCAATACATTCCAGCACGTACACACCATGCACCTGTCGGTCAATCGATCACTCGTGTCCCTCCTCCCGTCTCCTGCGCTTCCGTAGCCGTGGAGATCGGCGCAGGCGTTTCAGTGGCTGCTCGTCGGGTGGGATTCGTCGACGCCTCTTGGCAGCAGGCTCGGCCTGCTCGGGGAGCAGTACTGCCCCTCCGCGGCCTTCGTCAGCGGCGTTTTCGGCCTGCTCATCACCACCGGGGTGACCGACGGGCGGCATGTCCTGGTCAGGAAGCTCGCCCTGAGGCTGATCCCCCATCTCATCACCCCCCTCGTCACGGTCGTCATCGCGGCCCCTCTTGGCCCCTCTCCGACTCGACTCGATGCCTGCGGGGTCGAGGCGCTGCTGGTCGCCGCCATCATCCTGGTGTACGGCCTGGTCAGGCGCCTCACCGGCCTGGGGCTGACCCGCTGCTGACGCTGGTGAGCGATGGCCGTTGTCGGCTCGTCGGTCTGCATCAGCAGCGTTGCCCGTAGGAGGGGGAGGCTGACCATGAATGGCAGGAGGCTGATTGTTGGCCGCATGACGGCCGCTGTGACCTTCGTCATCAGGGTGGGGAGGCGGATCGGCCATGTTGACGTCTGGCTGCTGAAGCTCTCCACCTCTGGCTGGCTCGCCGCCGTTGTTGTGTGGGTCTGGGAGAGGAAACACGAAACACCATGATTTCTGTCCGTGCGCGTCTGAGGCTCTTTTGTCCGTGTATTTGTATACCGTGCATGGGCTGGTCGAGAGGCTGAACCACTGCTGCGGCCGCTGACGCACTGCCGTTGGGTGGGGCATGGAATGGGGCACCCTGACTTTCTTGGCGACCGAATCCTTTGTTGACGTCTCCTGCTGGCTCACCGCCCGCATCGTCATGTTGGTGGCCATCTTCACGAGCCCTCTTCCACCCTCGAACACTGCCGCCCAAGCCGTGTGTGGACGCTGCGGGGTCTTTGGGCTGCTCTGGGTCGTTTTCTTTCATCTCCACGTCTTGGACCTCTCTCGGCAGAGGCGCCTCAGGGGCGACGCTATGGTTGAGGCCAGTGTGGGCCGCAGCGGCCTGAACAGCCGCTGATGAGCATTCTGTGGTGCACACACACACGTCAGCAGGTGCATTCCTTCTGCCGGTGTGTCGTGTGTCTCTTCATTACTCACCGTGTTGTGCTCTGGCGGCGGCAAGGGCGGGGTGGTTCAGAGCCTGCTCTGCTGTGAGGCGGAAAGTAGGCTCGAGACACAGCATGCTGCACACATAAGACAACGTCAAGTTGGCAGTCGGTCAGCCGATGGAGAGCCGCATGCATTCGTGTATCTATGTCCCTCACCTATCGAGCAGATCCACTAAAGGATGGTCCTGACCGATGTCGAAGCGGCCGTAACAGCCTTGCTCTTTAGAGCGTGACAGCAGACCGTGAGTGGCCGCGCGCGAGACCGATCCATCCAGATCTTCACGAACGGCAAGCCGTCGATGGCGCTGCCCAGAGACGCAGAGAAAGAGAGAAAGGGACAGAATTCTATGTACACCACACACCTCTGTCTGTGTGACCATACGTACCAGCCTCTGTGTGAATGGGCGGTCGATGTGCAGCCAGTGCAGCGATGGTGGTGTCGCACGACTGGCCGCTATGCATCCCAGCAAATCCTCCTGCACCACACGAAAAGCGGGACCAAGAACGGAAGTGTGTTATCGTACACACGCCCTTTCTCCCCCAGCCCAGCTTACCTCTCTGTCGTCGGTGAGCCGCGTCGGTATGAAAGGCATCCTGCCCGACGCGAACTGAGCAATGGTGACACCGGCCGCCCTGTCCGTAACAAATTGCGGAAAGGACCACACACAATCATGATGGTGCGGCATGGCAGGTCGGTGTGGTGATATGTGTGTGAGGGGGTCCGCTCACTGACTTACCAGACGTCTACTTCAGGGCCGTATCGTTTCGTGCCCATGAGCAGCTCGGGCGCTCGCATGCCGAGAGCCACCTATTCACACAACAAGAAAGACAACGCATGGGAGAAAGGGCTTTATTTATCTGTGTTGGCATGTCTCCTTGGCGCTCCGTGTGTCTCTCTGTCTGTCTGTGTGCCTTTGTTACTTACCACATTGGTGTCCATGTGCCTCCGGGAGTCGGGGTTGTGCACTCTGGTCGCCCCTGCGCACATGCAGCCACACCCACACTCGCATCTACCAAGGACAGTGGGATCTTTGCTGCCGCGTGCTCACCTAGATCTCCGACCTTCACGGTCTTGCCGTCCTGGCCGACCATGCAGTTGTCATCCTTCATATCAAGGTGGATGACTGCACGAGAAGTCGGACACATCACATAATATCAACCTCCAGTGTGTGTGTGTGGGGGGGGGGGAGAATGTGTATCGTATTGACTGAGCTGACGTTGTTTCCGGTGCAGTTGGTGGAGGCCGCTGAGGATCTGGAACCACACGTCACACACTTCCTCTAGCGACGGCCCTGCAAAAGGCAAGACACACACAAAAGAGAAGAGACATCCGTCAGGCTTGACTTGCCTGCGATTTTCGTGCGCATTCTCCTCTACAGCTTTTTTGCTCCCCACCCACTCACCCACCCACCAGCGTAGTTTGCGTCGGCCATCTTCCTGGCCTTCTCCTGCCTGTTGAGGTCCGTGCCGCAGAGCTCCATGACCATCTACACGCTCTTCTCAAAGGCTCGACCCGACTCGTAGGCAGAGTATCGGGCATAAGCCTTGACCACATTCGGATGTCCGCCGGCGCGGACGTGGCACGCAAACTGCACAAACAAGCAATGCATCCATCCATCCACCAGTGGTCATGAGAAGGGGATGGAAGACTGAAGGAAAGGCATGTGTCTGCGTACCTCTCTCTCTGAGTACTCTTTGAGCTGCGGGTATGAAAAGTAGCGATCCGTCCCGTTCGACGACCTGATGGTGTCCTTGTACTGCATCATGTCATCGATATAGTGCACACACAGAAATACACACATGGAAGGTGCATTCCGTGTCGAACGTTCCATACCTTTTTGATGGCCACCCTTTCCCTTGGTGGAACCTCCTTCAAAACGCCACAGCCCTCCCTCTTGACGCCGCTATAGACCACGGCATGCTTACCTGCATCCACAGAGATACCCATGCATGTGCATCATGCGAGAAATGGCATCAAACTCGTGTGTATGCATCGTATGCAGTGTGAATGCATACCCTCTCCCTCATATCTGACGTCCCTGAAGCTCTGGTGTATAAACGTATCCTCCGTTGCCATCCCATGGCTGGCTGGTGGGACGTTCGGAGGCTCTGCGGCCTTGGAACTCTCTGCCATGATGGCAACGGGGCCTTATCTCCTTTGAAAGCGGGCACACAATGTGTCTGGCCGACTGCTGCGACCGTTCTGGAGCCTCGAGAGAGCGTGTGTTTTTCCGCTTGGGTCGAATTTGGCGAGGCGAGAGATCTTGGCTGGAAACACTAATCTCGACAACCCGAGACGTGAGGGGTTTTTGTTTGAAGTGTTGTCATTCCCATCCTTTTTTCCTCTCGTGCGGTGAGAAAACCCTGCCACTGCCCGCAGCACGTTGGCGGACGAGGGCTTTGTCGACGAGCTGGGCGAGGAGAGGGAGCTGGTGCTCATGCCGCTGCTGCGGCAGGCCCTGCAGGCCTCCTGCGCCTCCACAGCAAGCGGTTCTGCCACACCGACATGCTGGTACGTAGATGGAAGAACGACTCGCATATTCATTGGTCCAGAACATCTTGTCAGAACATCGTCAAGGGCACGCCATTCCTCGTCGCCGAAAGGGTGGATGAGTGAGCAATAGGTGTGTTGTAGATACATTGCTACAGTCAACAGGGTGCCGACAGCCGACTGATCGAGCTGCTGGTGGGTTTGTACGCTGACACCACGCTGAGTGGACCGAAGTTCTCAGCGAGAGAGGTAGGTGTACCTACACTAACCTACACTCTACTAAGCATGTCTGTCGGTCGGTCGGTTGTGTATCATGTGTGTATCATTCACATGCCTGCCTGCAGACAAGGAAGAATGTGAAACGCCTGATGGACGACTTGGCGGCAGAGGCGCGAGGCCTGGTAATGTTTGGCGAATTGGCGGCAGAGGAGGCCGAGCTCCCCTCGGGGACGCCCACACCTGCCATGACTCCACATCCACCCGTCGCACAAGTGCTCGTGCTGCCCCCCAACCCATCACGTTTGGCTCCCAACCATGCTCACGACCAGCCACGGCCTGCTGCACCACCAGTCAACGGTCCCCCATCTGTTGATGGTCAAGGTGGACTACGTGTGCCGGGCCCAGCAGATGGGGTGGGAGCGGCGTCGTATGGAAACAACCAAGGCTTCCCCTCGCCATCAGCAGCTGCGGCACCGGCAGCAGCGGCCGCAGCTCTGCCACCCAATATAGTGTGCTTGTAGGTGTGTTGCAGAATCATAGAATGATCGTTGGCTCATAGAATGCGTGTGTGTGTGTGTGCAGATGAGAATGTCTGGTGGGCAGAAGGACTTCACGGTCAAGCTCCCTCGCGACCGCGTCCCGAGGCTCCACGACTTTGACTGTGCGCTGCTTCGGCGGGTGAATCGACCTTTATCCTGCCATTTGCAGAAGAGTAAGCGGGCAGTTGCTGTTGTGTTGGTCTCTGTCGACAGCACTAACTTCAACCTGAGGGTCACCGATCAAGGCTCACGAGGTGGCTCCGTTCTTTATCAAGCTTCAGTCGACATGACGGTGATATACACGCACACGGCGGGAGTGCTGGCATGAGTCGCACACTTCATAAACTGCGATGAATGCGTGCAGAGAGAGAAGGGCGACGAGATCCTCCGCCACCTGAAAAGCGGACTCTATCACGCTGAACAGGTGACGACAGAGTGGCTCATGTGACCACACATCCACGTATATGGAACGCAGAGTATCGGTGCCTCCCGCCACACACCGGGGCTGTCTGTGTCTCTGTCGCTTTCATTCACTCAGGCCGTCGAAGAGATCGACACCACGTGGATGCCCAAGTACGGCCACCGGGCCTCCACCAAGCTGGACTTCGTCCACCTCCCGCCCCTGCCCAAGAAGTCCCAGCTCAGGCCGCTCTCATCGTCCCCCGCCGCCCAGCCCGACACACCGCCCCCCCAGTGGGTGAAGGCCCACAGGGCGGCCATCCCCACCCACCAGGAGCTGCGCAGAGGGAGGAGAGGGCGTGGAGGGGCACCTGGGACGGCGGGATGGTCAAGGGGGCGAGGGCCAAGGTGGACACAGGCTTCCGCCGACCAGCCGGCCGCCCCCCACCAGCCCGCCCCGCCCCAACCGACAACAAGGAGATGGAGAGGGGGTGGAAGAAACACTCTTGAATGGGAGGTAGGGAAAAAGAGGAACACACAGATTAGGAGAACCTTTTGATTATCTTTCTCTCGTTTGCCTGGGTGTGTGCGCTCAGGAGTCAAGACGGTGGTGGCAGTGTGTGCCGGTGTTTGTTGTGGTGCGGTGGGGGCCGTAGCGGCGGCCTCGGTCAGAGCTTGGCTGCTGCTGCGGCCCACTACCAGAATCGCTGCCTACATTTTATATCACGATGTCTATGTCTTTGCTGCACACACAGACAAGTGGTGCATGGGTGTGGATGTATTGTGTCTTTCCTTTCGTCCGTGACAAGTGTGCGCCAGGCGAACTGCAGCCACAGCTGGCGGTCGAGTTAGCCAGCCAAGAAGAGGCCCGGTGTGACTGACACGCTCGAGTAAGTGTTTGGTGTACGAGAGAGACATATTCAAGGCGAGCACGCCTCTTGCAGCGCGTCCTTCCTTGTCTGCAGATTGCTGCCTACATTTTATATTCGTCGGCACGTACTCAAACGCATTCGACGGATAGACTGGACTGGGTGACCGAGCAAGGCCTCCGATATATGTGAGAAGATGCACACAAAACACTAACCAAGGGCACAACAACCATGTGGTGTCTCTGGTTGTGATGCATATATGCAGAGTGCAGAGGGAGCGATGGATTGCAGCGGGAGCGGAGCTCGATGGCCTGCCTGCGAGATGAATCGGCCGACCTCCACAGACCACTTCAGTGAGCAACAACATATACATCAATCGCGAGCAGAGAAGAGACCCACCGACCGACCGACTGACCGACCGACTGACCAACCGATCATCATACGACACACAAACACATGTGCGTGTATGTGTGTGTGTATGTATCGGGTGCCGCCGTCAGGCATCCAACACAAAGACTGTCAGACGCTGGTCTGGTCTACTGTCACAGCCCCCACATCGTAAACGTATTTGTCTGTGCCATCCCTTTACTCTATCACAATCGACACACAGACCTCACTTGGCGCCCAGCCCACCTCCACCTCCCCTGGCGTCTCCCCCCACACCCCTCTTCCGCCCTCCATTCCTGCTCCCATTCCTCTCTCGCCCTTCCCTCCACCCACGCGTCTCATCTACCACAGAATCCTCACTCGTTGCTGCGACGACAGCGCCACCAGCATCAGCCGCAGCAGCCGGCGCTTCGGCGTCGCTTCGCTTCAGGTGCTTGGCCATCGATACATGGCCAGGGGGCACGCCAGACACTGCACGAGAAGAGTGATGGAGAGGAGAACGGGATGGATCGTGTGCGATTCAGTGGTGGGGTGTGTGCTGTGCTGCAGGCGGACCTTCAATCGTGTCGCGGAAGCGGTGGCACAAGGAAGACGACAGCCAATCCAGCGGACTGAGTGCACACACAACCACAACCACAGCCATTACCATATCCGTCATCTGTGTGTGTATGTCCACTATGGCTGATTGCTCACAGACGTACATTGTCGGGCCACTCGAGGCCTCCGTCACAGCCCCTTCGGGCTCTCCCTCCTCCCCTTCAGCAGCAGTCCCCTCAGCCACTTTTTGCCTCTTCTGCGGCGGTCCGCCGTCCGTCTGCGTCGCCCTCTGCTGCGCCCTGAAGAAGAGCTCCAACTCTATGATGAAGATCTGTGCCGTCACGAGCGCATCGAACCCCGCCTCGTGCTCGTTGGACGCCTCGTGAGGACGCTCGAGTGAGTAGGTGGAGCTGCTGCGGGCAGTGGCTATTTTGAAGGCACTGATGTGGGACTGCCTGCACACATAGACATATTAACAGAAAGGTGACCGTCGGTCGATTCATTTTCCATCCTCCAGCCTACTTGAGCAAGTGTGTCCGCAGGTCGTCAAGTGACGTGCTCCTGCAGCCAGCCAGCCAGCCAGCCAGACAGACATGCAAAGGAGACGGCTGTCATGTCACCCACACACAGATCCTGCCGACCCGTCCCTGAGTGCGTACCCCCTGCTGTGGTTGAGATGCAGCACACTGTACCGTCCCTGTGACGCCAGGTGTTTCGTGTCAAAAGCACCGCCAGAGAAAAGGCGCAGCCACTCGGTGCAGAAGGCACCCAGGTCCCTGGGCAACTCACTGAACGACGGACACATACACACACAGAGAGACAGAGAATGAGCCTTGAAAATGCATTGCAGAGGGATGCGCGTGCTCGTCACCCACCCGATGAACTTGTCGTATATGTGCAGCATGTCGAGAAGGCCGTGGTGCAGCACCACGGGCCGCTCTGCCTCGATGATGCACTCCAACACGCACTGAAGGCCGCTATCCATCACAGCCTGACAAAATCACACCGATAGGTAGGCGTTTGTTTGTTGGATGGCTGGCTGCGTGTGGCTCACCTGGGGCATCAGTTTTGATGCGAGATAGGATTCCTTTGCATTCTGCACCTCAGCCAGACGGGCGTACTCGACCCTTCGATCAGGACATACACACACCAACGCCACACCACATCGCCCGCCCACACTGACCTCCCTGCCTCCTCCCTTTTTCCATCAGCCTACCGACCTGTCATCAATCCATTTGTTGAGGTCAAATCCATTCCGTCTGAGGAAGCGAAGGGAGCTTGTGTCGCAAAGAAACACTCGACGCTGCATCCAATAAACACACATACGGGGAGACCGCCACTCACTCACTCATGGTGGTTGACCGCCACACCCACACGCCGTACCAGTGCTGGGAACGCGTTGAAGTTGTGTGGCGACAGCACCCACATATTCGGGTCCTCTGCATCACGCTTGACCGCACAAATGCCCAGCTGCACTGCACGCACAGACACACAGCCACACGAACAGAGTAGTCTTCCACCCCAGCAGCGTGCCTGTGCCACCTTTGGTCGTCGCACTCACCCGTCAGGAACTGTGGGACGCTGTCGCGGCAGTGGTCATAGTACAGCTGGATATTCACAGGCAACACACGATAGGCATCCATGCCTCTCCTTGCCCGTCTGTGCGAAAATACCTCCATAGTAGATTTGCGTGACGTGCCGTCCTTGAAGAGACCAGTGAACTCTGCACACAGATGCATAGAAGACAGAGCTCTCAGAAAGCCCAACGCCTCACATTGCGTGTACCGAGGTCTATTGCGACGAAGTCGCAGTGCTGAATGTCCCCGATAGCTTGCTCGACAGCCGCGTGACGCCAATCTAGTGACACACCGAGCACAACGATGAGCGCACTCGATTGAACCTTCGAGTCTATGACCTGCAGCCGGCGCTCTGTCATCCTCGTCCTTCGCTGGTTGGCCCTCAGAAGCCTTACTGTCATCTTGTCTGGGTTTGTGCTCGTCTTCTTCCATGCTCGAGGCATCAACACCCGCCATTCATTCGGATCTTCGACAATCGACACACCCCTGACGAAAAAAACACGCACGGATGAGTGGGAAACGATGGATCTCGCTATTGGGATCTCGAGCGCATCCTCACCTCCTGCTGGATAAGCTCGCAGGTGGGATTGAAACGAAGAAGCGGAGATGTTGACGAGGAGTGATGAGGGCGGCGTGAAGGCTTGAGTTCGTTCCTGCACTCGATCCTGGCATTCGTGGATCCAAGCCGCTTTGGCCAGCGATGAAGGGCCGCGCAGATCTGTTCGTCCGCGCCATCCTGTGCGCCTCTATCGTGCTCATGGCGACTTCCATCACCCTCGTGTGGCTCATGCAGCGACACTGCGGCTTCCCATCCGACCTTGTCGATGACCGCACATTGCTGAGAAGGCCTGCAACAAATGAGCGGCAGCAGCGCCAGCAAAGGCCCCGCAAAGAGGACCTTTCTCTGCAGCGGCAGCTGGAGCAGAAGAAGCAACTCATCGCTGACCTCAGGACGATCGTGCAGGGGCTGCAGAAGAGGGTCAAAGAGCAGGAGAGCCGCATCAGACTTGTGTCGGCCACGAGCTCTCCAGTGCAACAACACGAAATCCAGCGAATTGCTGCGGCCACAGACAAGCGCGGCATCAGATTGGCCAGCCACGCGCCAGGAAATCTTACCAGAGAGGAGAAGGAGCTCACATCGGCTGAGTACATGCGGTTGATCTCTACTCGTGACGCCTTCCCCTTCTTGCTGAATTACTTCGGCTGGCAGGGGCGCGGCGTGGGAGGTGAGATAGGCGTGTATGGGATGGAGTTCAGCGACCGGCTCATCCGCATATGGCGGCCGGAGAGGTTTGAGCTGATGGAGTTGCGGGATCGGCATGAGTTCAAGACGAGGCGGGACTTGCTGCATTATGAGGGCAGGGCTGCAAAGGTCAATGTTACCTGGCACCAGGTAAGAAAGAAAATCATGGCTGGTCACGCACCGGTCTCTATGTTTGTGTCTGTCCATCAGGGCTTCAGTTGGGACATTGCCGGCAACTTTTCCGACTCGTATTTTGACTTTCTGTATATCGACGGGTCGCACCACTACGACTCGGTGCTCAAGGACCTACACGACTTCTGGCCCAAGATGAGGAGCGGGGCCATCCTCGCAGGCCATGACTTCTGCGGCGACCGCATGCACCAGACCATCCAAGTACAGCCCGGCGTCAACGCCACGGTAGGGAAGAATCCTGTCCTCTCCCTGTCAGTGCATCTCTCGCGTGTGTGCATTTGTCTTAGATCCCGTGGTGCGGTGTGTATGACGGCCGTGATCAGACCCGCAAGACGGCCCGCAGAGGGGGCGAGAAGCAGGGGCAGCAGGGGTCAGCCCGAGCAGTCCTCGAGTTCTTTGCGGCAAAGGCCATTAGAGTATTCCACACACGGGAGGATAGGATTGAGAGCGACATGTACAATGAGCGGCTCGAGACGCCCCCGCCACGGTCGAATCCGTCCTGGTGGGTGGTGGTGCCGTGAGTGAGAGTAATTGACTGCATGTGTGTGTGTGTGTGCGTGTGTGTGTGCGTGAGTGGAGAGACACGCCTCATCGTGTGTCAACACTGACTGCGTCAGACTCTTTGGCGCACGATGTGCCTTGCATGCTGTTGCCACTACACCAGAGGCCGCGCTGATGCACAAACGAATAATGGAAACAATCGTGTACTACGTGAGTCAATCTTCAGGCCCCCAACCAGCACGGGGCCACCGCCCGTTGCTCGTCCATCGGCACGAATCCACGATGGATTCGTTCATTCGTCTATCTCTGGTCGTCGTTTATTTGGTCATCTGCCTCCCCCCTCATTGGTGTGCGTGTCCCATTGACCAATGGCCGCAGGAGAAGCTGCCACTCGGAGAGTACTCATTCGAAGAAAGCGAGGAGGGCCTCGCATGGAATCTGTAAGCCACTATCCTGCGGCGAATGCATCAATGCACACTCTCATCTACGCCATGGGTGGTGTTTGTGGAGCAGGAAGGGAGAAGTGAGCGGCATCAAGCTGGAAAATGGCAAGGCTGTGATATCGACGTCCAAGAAGCATGCTTACATGGACCTCAATTTTGGCGCTGCTGGGATGCCCGACGCCAGACGAGCAGCGCTCGCCGCAACCATCGATCTCTCCCAGCTTCAGCTGCCTCAAGTGCCTGCCAGTCCCAAATGGAACCCGGATGTCAGGCAAGCAAGCCCGAATGGGGGCACACATCGTTCATCTCTTTCTGCCGGTCTGCTTCTGTCATTTACTTCCAGGGACAATGGCTTCGAGCTGCTAAAGATGCATGGCCTGCCCGATAACGGTCGTGTAGTGAGCCTCGTCCCCTATCGCAAAGCAGACGGGCTTGCAATGATGTTCACACATAACAGTGAGGAGGGCCACATCAAGGCGGAAGACAAGCCCTTCGCGGTGCCCAACGACGGACAGCCACACGAATACGTCATTGGGTTTCCAATGAAGGGCAAAGACGGCGATGGGGATGTCTTCGTGTGCGTCGACGGAGAATTGAAGTTTCAGGCAGCCCTTGCAGACCTGAAGCTCACCACAACCGATGTCACCGTAGTCCGCTTGGGGTAAGCATGTCGTTGTATCGATCAGACGTTGATGGATACACACCTGTGTGATTCATGTGTCTCTCTGCAGCTTCGTGGCGTGGGGTGATAATGTGGGCGGCTCTCTCCTCATCGACAAGGTGCTCATGTACGTCCCCCCCCTGCCTGACGTCTACGTGGACGAGAAGACAGGAGCCGACACCAATGACGGGGCCACTCCTGACACGGCCCTTGCCTCGGTCGTCCGTGCAGCTGAGGTGGCGCGGCCGGGGACAACAGTGCACATTGCAGAGGGCATCTACCGAGGGGCACTGGAGCTGAGAAGCGACGGCAGGGCGGGCCAGCCGATCAAATTCGTCGGCAAATGCAGCGACAAGACAGCCATCGTCGGCTCGATCCGCGCCGACTCACTGACCTGGACTCAGCATAAGGACAAGATCTACAAGGCTGATCGTGACGAAGCTGAAAGACGGGTCGGGTTATGTGGGCACTTGGAGCCTCGCGAAGGCCCCCCGCTACGTGTGCAAGTCCAAAGCGCCGGGCGACTGTACTAAGAAATACCACCTCGCACGTAGCCCTAACTACAAACCTCCTGACGAGCCTGAGGAGTACAAATATATGAAGGTAATAGCATGCATTTTCTCCGGCTTTCCACACGTTGCATTATCTTGTTTGTCTCTCAGCATTGGTACATGGCCGGTAAGTCAGCACAGAAAAGTCCATGGCTACGGGGAAGCCCCAACCAGACCTCACGCTCCTTCTTTGCTGTTGACCAGACGGAGGGAGTGGCGTCCCCGACTGCACGCCTTCCGCTGAAACCAAAGAATGCGACAAGAAAACCTGGTCGCTGAACACTCTCACCGATGTGGGCCATTTTCCTGAAACGGGAAAGCCTCAACCAGACCTCACACTAAAGACACTGCCGGACCTCGTCGGGGCAACCGTCACCATCAATGACGGTTCGACACAAACACACACACACACACACACATCCCTCCGTCCTGACATCGCTCCTTTCCTTTGTGTACTACACAGGTGAAAGTGGCTTCTGGACGGCAAACTTCCCCGTGAAAACGCACAACAAGGCCGCAGGAAAGATAACGATCGGTATGCGTGCATACATAGCCGCAGCGAGGGAGAGACACACGTGTTCTCGCACTCCCTTCTTGTATCACCTGCCTCTTTCCGTGTCTTGGTCCTTTCCCTTTAGACGGCGAGTTCTACGCCTTAAGCCGTGATCACAAAGGAATAAGGGCCTACTCCCACTATTTCGTACAGAACAAACTGTCGCTGCTTGACAGCCCAGGAGAGGTCAACAGAGACACACGAAGAGATGTACACTGTCTGCCCATCCATGTCTCGCCCTCTTCAGTACTGGTTTGATGAGGCAACGAGCACCCTCTACGTGTGGAAAAATGACGACGCACAATGGAGCGACATTGAGATCTCGACAGACGCAGAGGACCAAGAGGTGGCCCTCGCCATCACCGGCAAGTCGCACTGGGAGCTCAGCGGCATCACATTTTCTTTCTTCCACACCATCCTGCAAGAGAGCTATCGCCCTGATACGCCATCGGAGTTCGTCAAGATCAACAACTGTCACTTCCACACAGCGGCGTACGGCCTGCGGCTCCTCCGCGCGGGCGATCTGACGAAGCCTTTGAAGCAGACAAGATTCTGGACTGTGACCAACAATGGTGAGCGAGGCAGATGAAAGACGAATAGAGACCTCGTCTGTGTGATTGACTCTTCCTCGTTTGTGCAGAATGGTCGCACATTGACGAGGTCGCTGTTTTTTCAAAGCCTCAAGCAGAAATGGGGGGCACAGGAAGAGACCCCAAAACCGGTGAGGGCTGCTCGAAAGATAGAGAGACAACGTAAACGGCGATATGTATCTGTGTGTGGGCCGGTCGGCGTTTGTGTCATCAGAGATCTCTACTTTGCAAACAATCACTTCCACCACATCGGGTTTGCTACGAGGTGAGTGAGGACATCCAAATCACCGCCGATTCGTCGACACGTGACCACACATCTTCCCCATCTATGCAGAATCCGTATTCTAAAGGGAAGTCTGCTCCGAATGCGGTGTCCTTCTCATCAGCGACCAACATCACATTCATTTACAACACCATCGAAGGGGGCAATGCGACTCGAGCAAGCGAACAGACAAAGCACCATCCATCAAGACCTGCTGCTGTATCCTGCTTGTCTCCGCCGTATCAGATAGTCACCGCGTATGCCCTCAAATTGAAATCTGATGCGGTCGAGTATCCGAACATCCTGGTTTGACCGACAAGTCATGTCTCGCCCAGGTTCATGTATATGCATTGAGATCCATGTTATGATCTTTCAGCCATCTGCGAAAGGCGACAACCTGGTGGCGCGCAACAATTTTTCTCGAGCATGCGAGATGAAGGCCGACTGCGCTGCCGTTGATATGTGGGGCAAAGCGCCCTTCAATACCCTCTTTTTTGTATGTGGGCCAAGGGACAAGCCATTATTCACACGAGAGCCCGCCTCCATCATGTTTTCCCTCTTCTTTCTCGTTTTCTGTTTTGTGCCCTTCAGGAGAACGTAGGCAGGCGAGTCCTTGTAACATGCAGACATTCCAAACACGGCTGGCGGTGCGTGCTGTGTAGGTGGTCAGCAACTCGTTCGGATACACCGGCGCAGGCGATCGCGGCACGAATGGAGCGGGGGCGGGGTCAGGGATGACACAGCAATCGTTTCCTGGGGTAAGTGTGCCTGCCTCTCACGGCAGATAGAGCAGATAGGCACGCAGACACGTCTCTCCAACAAGTGCCATCTCTGTCTGTCTGTCTGTCTGTCTGTCTGGACAGGGAGTGTTCTTGCGGAATGTCATCTTCAACATAGATTGTACCACACATGCACAGAAGCCATTAAATACACATGCATGCGTCTGCCTTAACTTCACCTGTTTGTTGTCCGCATTCAGCGAAGGGCTTCAACTGGTATTGCAACGAAGACACGGTCTGACATGCAACGGCACCGATAGGCAGAAACACGTGGATAAAGGCTCAACTCTGGCTGACTGTCTCCTTGCCTGCCTGCCTGCCTACCTGCACCGCAGAAGTCCGAGCTTTGGTTTCTCAACAACCTGATTGCCCGCGTCGCCAAATGTGTCCGATCGCGGGAGCGCCACCTCAAGCAGCCGCTCTCCATCACCATTCAGAATAACATATTCGTCGACTGCGACATCGGCATCAACCTCGCCGCGCCATCCGGCGGGACATTCCCCCGGGAATATTATGACGTTGACTACAATCTCTACATGCTCATGGACCCCGACGCGCAGATCGTGAGAGTGGGTCATAAACCGGGGACCGAGACCTTCAAGAGCCTGGCTGCGCTCGGGGAGGCGGAGAGCGGCCGATGGATTGAGGGATGGGAGACACACGGAAGCGACACGGTGGAGGTGGGGGCGGGCTACAAGGCGGCGAAGCTGCCCCCACGCACGAGCAGTATCAATGATCACAGAATTCGTACATACGACCCAGGTAAGTGTGTTGCCGCGTGTGCTGCGCCATGTTGATGTCGCAGCCATCTGTGCGGTCAGCTTGGTTTGCGCCGACGTCAGCTCAGCTGGATGCATCGAATCCATCCTTCCCTGACGAGGTGGAGCGCCTCCTGAGACACTTTGACATCTGCATACCGATAGCACAGGAGCACTCGGTAAGACAGCGACACACGCCACCTACCCAGCCATGTCTCCCTGTCTCACACCTGCACCCACTGATTCATTCTACGTGTGCAGAACCTTCCGATCGGCCCTCACCCAGACGGAGCCAAGTGCTTCAAGGTACCCTCCATCACTCTGTAGATGTTTGTGCCTCTCTCGTATTGGCTCGGTGCGTGTCCCAGGGGATCGGCTCGCTTGACGGTGGGCTGTCAGTGCCGACGTCTCTTCCAGCAGCCGGCGGCGGAGATACGCCGCCCGTTGGCCCCTACGATGGTGATCCGACTAATGGCGATGGTGATGATACTGTGGACCAACTCGACTCAGCGGCGAGGCGAAGGGTCGTGGACGCCGTTGTGCCACTTCTGCTGGCCCTTGGCCTCTTCCTTAGCTAGGACGGATGTGTCTCTCTAGCTGGTTTGGTTGTGTATATCTCTGCATAAGGCGAGGAAGAAAGTGGGCCCTATTTATTTTGTGTGTGCATCGGTCTGTCTGTCGGTGGTTGTCTTCGTTTCAAACGGCTGGTTGACACGCACCTGACCGAATGGCGTGACAGAAACACTCTCTCAGTCAACACTTGGCGAGACCTCATTTATCAGTATGTCCGTCCACGCAGCGAGAGGCCCACATCACATCGCTATGTACAACGGGGGAACGAATGGGCCGGGCCACGTGCAAACACAACACCACACGTACGGCCATGCCCATCCACGTACAAATGTGTGTGTGCATCAGTCAGTCTATCTACCCCACCTCCCCCGGTTTGTGTATGGACCGCCCCTCATTCGCCGCTCTCTTCTCAACCGTCTCCCCCGCCACGCCCCCCTCCGCCTCAGCAATCATGCTCTCTATCTTCTGCATCTGCCGCTCATACTGCCACGCTAGCGTGCTCATCAACAGGTCCAGCACAAACAGCCGCACATACAGGTGGACCGTCTCCCACTGCAGGCACACCCACCGCCACAAAGGGCCGATCCCTACTCGTGTTATCTCCTTCTCATGACGAGGCCTGTAATCGCTATGATCATCGGTCGCTTCGCGACCCATCGACAAGGCAGCTGGCACGGCAAAGGGCGGGGGCGCCTCAGTCTCTGTGCCATTGGTGGCGGTACGAGAAACAGCGGATGGGAACTCCGAAGCCACCTGAGGGCACACAAGAGGGAGACCAGCACATCATGGCTTTGCTGTCAACCTTGCTGCTTGCTTACAGGGAAGTTCATGGTGGCGGCTCCAGGCAGCTCGTACCACCTCGGCTGTCTGCCCAGCGGCTGTCGCCCGCAAGTCGAGTGGACGATCTCTCCGCTGCTGCTGGAGTCGGGGAAGTCGTCGAAGAACTTGAAGAAATCGCCGAGAACGTCCCCCCACTTGATGAGGCGCTTGGCGGACTGCGGTTGGGCCCTCTTTTGCTCTGCATAGTAGGCCTGGTACTTATCGATGACGGGAAGCACACCGCCGTTGTCGAGAAAAAGACCTGAGATGAGAGAGAGAGAGAGGGGGGG